AATGTTAATATCCATATGATAAAGGAATGTATTTCTATTAGAAATGTAAATAGTACAGATAAAGGGAGAGTTAACTTTGGTAAACCCTCTGCTCAGCCCTACTCCTGTTCTCAAAGATAATCATTATTTTAGGAGATACGTATACTTTTAATCCTTTTTATGTATGTATGTATATATCTACATACAGAAGGTGATACTAACCGTATTATTCTTTTAGATCTTTCCATGTCTGTATAAGCTGTTGCATAATAAATATGTCATTCTATGGGTGTACCATAGTTTGTTTTCTTATTAATAGGCAGTGTTTTGCTTTTATGAAAGGTGTTACAGTATACCTTATATGTTCCTCTTTGAATATGTACTAAAATTTCAAGTTTTTCCTTTAGGTTAGTTACCTAGAAATAGAATTGTCTGGTAAAAGAGTCTTTGCACTTAAAGTATTAAGAACAATAAAGTGAAACAGTTGTGGACAACACAGAATTGGACACTTTTCATTTGGTCAGGAAAGAGCCAAAAAAAAATGCCATATATTGTCGCTGTCATTTCATAAAAGGATATTTTAACAGCTGAATATATTTAGTTTCAGAGCTTCCCAGGTGGCACAGTAGTAAAGAATCTGCCTGCCAATGCAGGAGATGCAAGAGACACAGGTTTGATTCCTGGGTTGGGAAGGTTCCCTGGAGTAGGAAATGGCAACCTGCTCCTATATTTTTGTAGAAAATCAGAGGAGCGTGGCAGGCTACAGTCCATGAGGTCACAGAGAGTCAGACACAATTGAGAACGCATGCACATGTTTAGCTTCATGAAAATCTCACTGTTGTCATTACTTTTCTCGTTTTAACATAGACTATTGAATTTTCATATAGACCAGCTTGGGTTGGGGTGGAAACTTGAGAACACTATTGTAGTTTATTATTTTGCATCCAAACAGGTCAATCCAAGGGAGTTACTCCTGCGATTTTTTTTTTTTTTTAAATATCCTTAGTACTGAGCCATTCTCATGGTTGAGAAATTAGGTCCTATGTCCTTTCTTCAGTGTGGTCCCATAAGTGGGAACCATATGTTATTTTGTAATCTGCCACAGGAGTGTACATTTGAGTCCCAATACTAGATCACCCAGGCTTTCCAGGTGGTTCAGTGGTAAAGAATCCACCTGCCAAGGCAGGAGTTGGAGATGCAGGTTCGATCCGTGGGTCAGGAAGATCCCCTGGAGAGGGAAATGGCAACCCACTCAAGTATTCTTGCCTGGAAAATCCCATGGACAGAGGAGCCTGGTGCACCACAGTCCATGGGGTCATAGAGTCAGATGTGACTTAGCAACTGAGTATGCATGCACTAGATCATCCAGACTCAGGCAGTGCTGAATACGGAGCTAAAAGCTATGGTTCTGGGCCAGAGGATTTGTATTTGGATCCACACTGTCCTTTTGACATCATAGGCATGCTTTTTAATCTGTCCAAACCCCATTTTCCTGATCTTTAAATGGTTATAGGAATAGTACATACCTCATAAGTTACTTGCAAGGATTAAATGTATTAATACATGTAAGACACTTGGCATAGTTTCTGACTCTTAGAAAGTGTTCAGTAAGTGTTGGTTGTGATCATAACATGATCATCAGTGTATTTAGTGAGTGAAGTCGCTCAGTTGTGTCTGACTCTTTGTGACCCCATGGACTGTGGCCTACCAGGGTCCTCCATCCATGGGATTTTCCAGGCAAGAATACTGGAGTGGGTTGCCATTTCCTTCTCCAGGAGATCTTCCCAACCCAGGGATTGAACCCGGGTCTCTCACATTGTAGGCAGACACTTTACTGTCTGAGCCACCAGTGTATTTAGCCTTTCCATTAATAGTTATTGACTGCTTATATGTCAAACAGCATACTTTGTGCTTAGATTGGGAAGATTGAACAGTCTCTGTCCTTTAGGAAGCTGGAGTGTAAATTGGAGAGTTTGACACTTAAACAACTATCTGTAATATCTATTAAAGTGCATTGGTGACAAGATTGATGACTTGAGAAAGAGTGGAAGAGGGGATGGCAAAAGGAAAACAGTAGAAGCAAAGAAAATGCCCCTAAGTTACATCGTGCATTTGTGGTCTAGATTACTGTAGACTGATGCAGTGGAGCTTTAAGAGCAAGGGTGGATGGGAGATAATATTGGATGAAGCACAGAATTTGTAAGTGTACAGTTGTGTTTTGAGTATCAGCAACCCTTAGCCTATGGAAGAAGTCAAGAAGATCAGAGGTGCAATTTTAGGATTTATGTGAAAATCTGGAGAAAATACAAGAGAATAGAATGTTGAGTTCTAGTATTGCTTGGAAAGCTGGTCAGAGGTGATCTCTAGTGTCCTTGAGAATGCTTTGAATTATCTGAGTGTGCATTTCTAGCATTAGTATATAAAACAAGGTCCTTTTCAAAGGAATACTCTCCTTAGGACAACTCTCATTGCTGTCTTATCCAAAGGAGTTATAGTATTCTCATGGATTCTAATTGGGTGGGGGATGAGAAGACCTGTGAGATTAAGAGGTCAAATGGTTTACAGAATCTTCCCCTATCAAAGTTGTCCACAGCCTAAAAATGTCTGAAATTGGGTATGAGCAAATACTCCTGACACTTCAAATCAACTTTGCTGAGAGTGTGCATTTCTCAGAAGGAAGTCGATCCCCCAAGGCTAGGCCAGGATGTTTTACCTAGGAGACAAATGGTATACTGAACTATAAGACTCATGAAACCCTTGCCTATTTCAGACGCTGACTGGAAAGGAGATCGAGATTGACATTGAACCCACGGACAAGGTAACGTATGCCCAGTGCCTCTCCGTGCGTATCTCATGTACCTTTGCCTGGGTATGCTGATGAAATTAGTCCATTTGCTCTCATGCTATCTGCATAGCTCTTGTTCTTTCCACTTCCATGGTCCCTCCCCCTGAGCAGCCCCTGACTACTTGTACCCCTAAAGGTGGAACGAATCAAAGAGCGTGTGGAGGAGAAAGAGGGAATTCCACCACAGCAGCAGCGGCTCATCTACAGTGGTAAACAGATGTAAGTATGGAATCGAAATGAAGGTATAGTGATGGTTTTTTGTGTTTTTATTTTGGCTATGCTAGGTCTTTGCTGTCCTGGCTTTGCTCTAGTTGAAGTGCGTGGGATTCTCAGTGCAGTGACCTCTCTTGTTGCAGAGCACCAGCTACAGGGTGTGTGGGCTTCAATAGTTTCAACTCCTGGGATCTAGAGCCCAGGCTCACCAGTTGTGGTACATGGGATTAGTTGCTTCTCGGCATGTGGGATCTTTCTACATCAGGGATTAAACCTCTGTCTCCTGCATTGGCAGGTTGATTCTTTACCACTGAGCCACCAGGGAAGTCTGGAAATAGCTCTAATTTCTCTTGTTAACAGGTTACCCATATTGCTAATACCCCTGTGGGCTTTTGTGGGCTTTTGTCTGTGTTCAAAATTGAAAGAAATATCAATTTACAGTTGGGGGTTAGTAAAAATATAAAGATGTAATTTTTTTTCTCATATGCATTCATAGATCTCCAGAGATCCATGAAACCCAGGTTAAGAACCCCACTCTAAATGGTATTTCTAATAACTTTTCTTTTCTTTTTTTGCCTCTTCCTGTAGGAATGATGAGAAGACAGCAGCTGATTACAAGATATTAGGTGGTTCAGTCCTCCATCTGGTGTTGGCTCTGAGAGGAGGAGGTGGTCTTAGGCAGTGATGGACTCCACTCCATTTTACCTCCTTGCCCTCTCACTCATAATGAGGCTTCATATATCCTCTCACTCTGTGGGACACCAGAGCCACTCCCCCCTCCCCTGGATGCCCAGTCTTGTGTGTCTGTTGGTGGGAGACTGTGAGGACCCCAGGAGGCAGTGTTCCTGGCCCAAAGGGCCCTTGCTGGCTATTGGGTTTTAGTTTGCAGTCCTGTGTGCTTCCCTCTCTTATGGCTGTGTCCCTGGTTCTCAATAAAATATTTCTTGACCTCCTGGAATCTTTCTTCTATTGTACAAATGTGACTGAAATCAAAGTGGACCTAGGGAATTCCCCAGTGGTTAGGATTCCGTGCTTTCACTGCTGAGGGCTGGAGTTCAGTCCCAGGTTGGAGAACTAAGATCCCACAAGGTGGGTGGGATCTTAGTTTTGGGTGTGGCCAAAAAAACCCATAACAGACCCAGTGCACACCCAGTTACACCAGGCTGAAGGACTGTGACCCTGGAAGGGAATGTATCCTTAGAGGAATTCTCAAACTGTAAGTGTATACTCAGGAGTGTGCTAGAGCCAAGTGTTACTTGTGCCAGAGCTAATCGTTGGCATCTTTCCCAGCCCCCATATTAACTGACTTCATGTTGGTAGCTTGAAATTGGCCATGTCAGAGTATTTACATAAATTGACAATACAAATCAGTCCTCCCCCCCAAACTGGTTGGTAAATATCTTTCAGCATACTACTACTGATGTGGGTGGTAGAAACCAGGAGAGTGAGTTCTCCCCCATTAGACGCTATAGGACATTTGGGCCTGGTTCAAGAAAAGCCCTCAAGAGCTTAATCAACACTACATTCTTTTATGGCTGGAATACTGCTGAGGCTCAGGTTTCTATACCATGGAGAGGCTGGTATTGAGATAGGATGAGGAGTGATGAGCTATGATGGATCACTTTAGGTCTCGGTGAGATAAAGTGAGAGAGGGGTACTAGAAGAAAGGGCTTCCCTTCCTTGGCTCCTCTAGTTAAGTAGAATATGGTGAGGCTGGGTGGGGTGGAGAAACAAGGGAAGAGACCTTGGAGAGACCCGAGGGTCATGGGAGCTGTCCGTGATGGTTCTTTGCTGAGGTCCTTCCCCTCCTCCACCACCAGAGGGCGCCCTTGTGCGGTCTTGGGACCGACCTTCCCAGCTCGGCTGGCGACGCTCTAGTCGCCGTTTCTCTGAGGCCCGCCGGCGGCCACTGAACTGTGAGCGCAAGGCCTGCCTCCCTGCGCACAGCCTGTGGGTCCGGGTCATGGCACGACTCCCGAAACTCGCAGTCTTCGATCTAGGTGAGGGACCAGATTGGGGAAAGTTTCGTTAGGCACAGTATTTCTCCAACCCCCAGTAGCTGCTCTCGAGGCCCTGCGCCCGCGCAGGCTGAGACACCCCCACCTTCTTCCTCTCGCAGATTACACGCTCTGGCCGTTCTGGGTGGACACGCACGTAGACCCCCCGTTCCACAAGAGCAGGTGAGGCAGGGCTGGGGAGGCCTGGGGCCAGGCGGGGCTCCGCGGGACTGAACGCACTCTCGCCCTCTCCAGTGATGGAACTGTACGAGATAGGCGGGGCCAGAGCATCCAACTGTACCCTGAGGTGCCTGCGGTCCTGGAACGATTGCGGGGCCTGGGAGTGCCCATCGCGGCCGCTTCACGGTAAGAAGAGGGACTGAGTCGGTCTAGTGTTAAGAGATGCGTGCATGAGGAGACTTCCGTGTAACCCTTTGGCTGCAAAAATTTAGGACGTGCAAGTTGCAGGTATTTGTACATTTTCAAATTGTACCCTTTGCTGTGCATTTTGTAATTTAATAAACATTGGCTCAGTGGTACCCGTATCAGACAGGAAGGATATGGAATTGAAGCTGGACGGAAGTGCTTGCCCATCCCGGACAAACAAGAAGTTGATTTCCCCCTGGTTACACATAACTTCACTTGCAGCCTTGGCCCTCCATTCTCCTCATCTACTACACCTTTTTGCAGGACAGGTGAGGTTGAAGGAGCCAACCAGTTGCTGGAGCTCTTTGACCTTGTCAGATACTTTGTTCATCGGGAAATCTATCCAGGCAGCAAAGTCACGCACTTTGAGAGGTACGAAGCGATAAGTGGTGGAGCAGGGAGACAAGACCAGGGAGACTGGAGGGGCTAAGAACCAGCGTGGTCACTCCCACCCTGTCTTGCACAGGTTGCAGCGAAAGACTGGAATTCCTTTCTCCCAGATGATCTTCTTTGATGATGAGAAGAGGAACATCGTAGATGTCAGCAAACTGGGTACTAAGTGGTGAGGCTAGCCATTTGGGAAATGAGGAGAAAGTCTTCCTAAGAGGGAAAGGGTTGGTAGGTATGTACAGGATAGTTTGCATGCAGGTGATGCCCCAAAAAGGTGAGAGTCGTAACTGGGAGCCCTGAAGGCCTGATGAAATGTGGCTTCTTTTCTTTCTAGGTGTTACCTGCATTCATGTCCAGCATGGAATGAGCCTTCAAACCCTAACTCAAGGATTAGATGCATTCACAAAGGCCCAAACTGGACTCTGAGGTCCAGTCATTTGAGGAACAGAACTGAAAGGAAATCAGGAGGGCATTTTCAGGTGCATTTGTAAATTATTAAAGTGTATTTGTGTGTGGCAGAAGAGATCTTACCCTGTGTGGGTTGTTTCTGTTTTGACCTGGGGTGGGCCATCCGGAGGTGCAAAGACCAGAATGTGAGGCACTGGTTCCACCTTATAAACTTGTGGCAAACCGACTGTGATCTCCTGTGCTCTCCCCATTCCCACCCCTCTCCCGAGCTCTGTCAAGGGCATTAAAAAACTCTTCCACTGGCCCCAAGTAGTAGGGTGCATTACCCTGCACATTTCCTTCCAGGAAACAAAGAGTTTGTTTGCGGGTTGGAGTGGGGCCTTTTTATACAACGGGAAACGAAGCGGCCGCTTTGAGAGGAGCGCGTGGGTTTGGGGCTGGTGTGTTGGCTCACGTGGTATCAGTGGTCTCGCCGGCGCCTGTTGATGATGTCGCCGCGGTGCCCTAAGGAGGGATTGGCCGAGGCCGGTCTCGGAGTGATGTGTACAGCACCTTCCCGGGAGCAAGGCGGAAGCGCACGGGATACCGTGGGGCGGAGGCGGGAGAGGCGAGGGTCGCGATGAGTGGGCTTGGCCGGCTGTTCGGGAGGGGTGAGCCCGGGCGAGACTGGTCCCCGGGAGGTGCTGGCTGCAGCGGGCTGGAGGCGGGGAGAGCAGGAGACGCTGTCTGAAAAACCCCTATAGCCTGGCCTTCTCTCGAGCCAGCACCGCCACCTTGTCAGGGTGCGCGGTTCCAGCTGCCTTCCTTCCCAGACCCGGGAGGGAAGAGCCCGAGGCTCCGGAGGCGGTGCGAGTGGAGGGCGTGGCTACTGTGTTGGCTCCCACTGTTGAGGCTTTGGGGAAGAGTTTCTTGGCATCCAGTCCTTTCCAAAACCCTGGTGCTCCCTTCATGCTGGGCCGGAGGCAATCTGAGGTGACCCAAGAAAGCTAGCCCTCTTGACCTCCTCTGAGGTGGGGGAGACAGGCAAAATCTGGCATTTACAGTGTGGTGTGGCAACTCCGTGATGGAGATTTTCCGGAAAGCCAGGGTGAAACGGAAGAATCAGGGTGGCAGGTGGTGATCCGGAGTCTAGAAGTATGCCACGCCGGGGGTTGGGGGGCGGGGGGGTGTGGGTGTTGAGGTTCTCTAGGAAGAGGTAACTGTGTGCAAAGCAGAGGCAGGGAAAAGTGTGGTATATTTAGGGAAAAGAAGTTCTGACCTCTGACTATGGTTTGTGTGTGTGTGTGTGTGTGTGTGTGTGTGAAGGACACTGTGTATCTTGTTAAAAAACCTTTTTTTTGTATTTTATTCTGTAGGCAGTGGAGAATATGGAAGGATCTTAAGCAGGCTCAGGCCTTCAGCTTTTTTTTTTTAAAATAAGTCTGTTAGTTCAGAAGATAAAGGGAAAAATTGAGATCAGATTTTTTTTCTTTAGTCTCCATGCTTTGTTCAGTTCGATGTTGTGGAGTCAGGACCTTGACTCTCTTCTAGGATAACAAGTGGGACAGTGATTATAAAATGTGACTGAACTCTGGTGGGGAAAGAGATATTGAGGAGGCTATGCATGTGTGGGTGCCGGCAGCACGTGGGAAGTCTTGGTACCTTCCACTTGCTCAGTTTGCTGTAAATCCAAAACTGTTCTAAAAAATAGTCTATTTGAAAAAAAAAAAAAAGATTGGAAATGACTTGAAATGTAGCTAGGAAGGAATAGCAAAAGGATACTGGCTTTGGAATACATAGTGTCACATTTCAGTTCCCTTGCAGTCTCTTACTACAGTAGTTGTGATTTTAGATCAAAATGTTAACCTCTTTGTGCCTGTTTTCACATTTGTAAGCTGGAGTTAGTACATTCACTGTAGAAAGTCATTTGGGGATTAACAACAACACTATTAAGTGCCTGGCACATACCATGCACTCCATAATCGGTGGCTAATGTTTTTCCTTCACACAATGTGGGCTGCTCCATTGGATTCCAGGAAAGAAGGAGAAGGCACCAACCCCTGAAGAGGCAATACAGAAACTGAAGGAGACGGAGAAGATACTGATCAAGAAACAGGAATTTCTGGAGCAGAAGATTGAACAAGAGCTACAAACTGCCAAGAAGCATGGGACCAAGAACAAGAGAGGTAATGGGGGAGGGAACGGTGCCACCAAGGAGGGCCGGGGGGAGCACGGGCTTCTTCTCTAATGTTCAGGGTGTGGGCTGGATCAGCCGCCCTACAGGCTTTGCGGAGGAAGAAAAGGTTGGAACAGCAGCTGGCACAAACCGACGGGACATTATCCACCCTGGAGTTCCAGCGTGAGGCCATTGAGAATGCCACCACCAATGCAGAAGTGCTTCGTACCATGGAGCTTGCCTCCCAAGGCTTGAAGAAGGCCTACCAGGACATGTGGGTATGGGGGGAGGGGAGGAGGGGACCCAGGCACTGGGGAGAGTAGCTTGGTTTTGTGCTGTGAATCTTAAAACCTCTCCAGATCTGAATTTAGAGTAGAGACGCCTGTGACAACTAGGCCTCTGTCAGCCTTCTTGCTTACTGCAAGATGATCTCTGCTGGCTGGGACATTCTAGGGAGGAAAGATGATTTTCCTGTTTTTTTTTTTTTTTCTTTTTGGCTGTGCCAAGCAACTTTGGGATCTTAGTTCCCCAACAAGGGATTGAACCTGGGCACCCAGCAGTGGAAGTGTGGAGTCTTAACCACTGAACCACCAGGGAAGTCCTAATTTTTCTAATTTTTTAAGACCCTTCAGAGAGAGCAACCAGTCTTCCTCGTTGTGGCTTCATGTCATTTCTCAGCCCAAGTTTGCCTCTTTATACTTTTCCAGGGGTCTCTTTTACCTGGTAGCCATGGATTTGTCAGTCTGAAGCCACAGGCAGGAGGGACGTCATTCATGTGAGAAGAAAAAGTGAAGGGGATTGTCACCTGATATCTGGGCTGTGTATCTTGTTCTCAGGGACATTGACAAGGTAGATGAACTGATGGCTGACATCACAGAACAACAGGAGGTGGCCCAGCAGATCTCAGATGCCATTTCTCGGCCTGTGGGCTTTGGAGATGACGTGGATGAGGTGATTGGGCAAGAGGGGTCAGGGAATGTTGAAGGCACAGGAGCAGCCAGAAGGAATGCCCAAGAGAATTGTGGGGCAGGTTTGGGGGGCACCCCAAAAGCACGTTTTTGGAAATAGAATTTTCCTTTGTTCTGAGTGGCCCTGTCCTCCCATATCCAGGATGAACTGCTGGAGGAGCTGGAGGAGCTGGAGCGGGAGGAACTGGCCCGAGAGCTGTTAGACGTGGGTGACAAGGAGGAGGAGCCCCCAGTCACACTGCCCAGTGTACCCGCTACACATCTGCCTGCAGAGCCAGGTACCCGGGGCTCTTCTCTCATCTCAAGGACTTGAGAGGGTGGGGTAGATATGGGGAAAATTACTCCCCATCCATCCTGCCTCAAAGGGTCCAGGCAGAGAGGGTTGCTGCTACAGTTGCATAGGTTGTTAACTGCATAAGGGTACCTGGCTGAAGGGGAATGGGGACTGAGATCCGGCTTATGCTTCATTCCACAAACCGTGTATCCTGGTTTAGGGATGCAAATGCTGGGAGAAATGAGCACCTTCTGATTTGCACAAAGGTGCTATGGGAATTAGCAGCAGCCCAGCAAGCAAGACCATATACCCTTAGGTTCTTTGCTGGGAGAGAGCATTCAGCAGGTTCCTAGTGTTACAGGAGGGGATGACTGGAACTTGCTGAGACCTTAACACTTTTCTTTCTCTGGGTGTCCTTGTCTCCAAAGCTCCCAAAGCGGATGAAGATGAAGCAGCCCTAAAGCAGCTGGCTGAGTGGGTGTCCTGATGAGTCTGGGCTTGTCGGCCTAACGCTGCCTTTGTTGCTCTCTTTTCCTTAAGTGCCAAATGCTGAGCTAAAGGAACATGGCCTTGTTGGGAGGTGGTCCTGCTGAGGGTGGTGGTGTGACCCTGCCTGAGAAAAGGGTCTGTGGCCCTCCCTTCCCTGGCTCAACTATGAAGAAGGATTGGTACCGAAAGAGCCACTGAGCTCCCATGGATAGCATTAAAGTGCCCTCATTCCCAATAAAACTGGGCGGATGGAACCCTAGTGCTTATGCTGCCTTGTCTACCACTGAAACTCATCTCCTGGTTCTTGGAGCTTTGTTTCAAGAAATGAATGATAATAACAGTGAGAAAGGGGAGCTGCAGCATGGAACAGATGGAGATCCCAATGTCTTCACCTAGTGTGTACCAGGCAGATATTGTTCCATCTCTCAAGCTGGTTTGTCCTGGGGTTGCCTAGTGCTGAGGGTAAGGAAACCGCCGTCTAGTATTATCCCAGAATCATGTGGAGCTGCCCCTAAGTCTTCCCTCATCCCTTTTCACCCAACTGTACCACTGCAAAGAGCCGCATGATTTACTACCCATGTTCCTTTTACTAAGCCCGTTCACAGATAGGAAAGGAGAAATACATGGATAACAGGGCAAATAGGTTTGCTCTCTCCAGAACGCATAGTGAATAGGCTTGGTTTGAAACGGTCACGTCCATGTGTAGGAACAATAAGGAGGGACCGTGACTCCCGGGACTGTTTCAGTGGTGGTTAAGGTGGCATTTGGAGGAGGAAGGAACCAAAATATTGCCCACCTCCTGATACTGGTTTCTAAAAGAATGAACAGTGCTGTCCCTTTGGCCTATAGACAAACAGAGCAACCAGGGTAGAACAAGTATCTGCCCCACTACTTGAACATTTGGGTGCATGGAGATACACAACAGTGAGCATGTCCTCAGCCGGAATAGTGAGGCTTCTCCAAAGCAGGTGTGCCTCCCATCACGGCCCAGCCCACCTTCAGAGCCACAGAACAGCTACATTGTAAATTAAAATCTAGACTTAACTGGTGTCAAGATGACTGGTCACAGGCTCTGGGCAGAAATCCGACTCTCACCCTCAGCACTGTTCCCTGCTAAGGGTCCCCTGAGGAAAGAATGTGACTCCAGCTAATGAAACTAAAACAGAATTAGATTTATTTATTTTTGGTATAAAAGATTTTTATCCCCAGACCCTCCTGCTTTGCTCCTCTTTCAACCCCCCTCCCCCCTCTGCCACTTTCAGGTACTGATTTCCAAGGACTGGTGACGATTAGTGGTGCTGGGGGGCTGGCACATGGCCTCGAGTAGCCTGATCTCATGGGTGGGTTGCTCAGGCTGGAACTTCAGCACCCAGGGATCCTTGATGATGTCCAGGATGGTGGCACGCTTGTTGGCTTGGCGTAGCGTCTGGAGGACCAGGTTCTAGGGCAGGGGAGAGAGAGGTCTTGGCTGAGCTGGCCCCCTACTGTGCCACACAGGCAATGAGCAGCCGGACCTAAGGAAGAAGCAGGATAGCCCATCACACCACTCTGGTGAAAGGGAGTGTGGCCCTGACTTTACCCTTAAAAGCCTCCTGTCTGCTCAGAAAGCCAATATCTTGAGGGGAATCCTTGCAGAATCCCCTTCTGGCCTAGAGAATAGAGACTAAAACCTGCTTATCACTCATCCCAGGTGCAAGCCCAGGGGTTGGCCCTTTAAGCCCTCCCTGCCATTCTAGGGTGGAGAGTGGGTGTGAGATGGCCCTGGTGGCAGGGAGCCTTCCCCAGGATCAGGAGGTCTAGGTTGGGTATTCCCTCCCTATGGGGCACCCAAGGCTTCAGCCCTCCTAGGGGAGCCAGCACCTTGCACTCCTGGGAGATGGCATAGTTAGGTGGAAAAGTGACCTCCTTCTGAGTCTCTTTCAGCAGCTTCTTGAGATTGGTGTCATCAAAGGGTAGACGGGCGACCACTAGAGTGTAGAGGATGACGCCCATGCTCCAGGTGTCAGACAGAAAGGGGTTGTAGGGCAAGCCAAGCAAGATCTCCGGGCAGGCATAAGCAAAGCTGCCACAGTAGGTCTGGCTGAGGTGGCTAAAGCAGTTCACTTGGCGGTAGGAAGGGCTATTCCGCACAGACTGGTTAGAAGGCACCATCTTGGCGAAGCCAAAGTCTGATATCTTCACATTCTCCCGCTTGTCCAGCAGCAGGTTCTCCAACTTTAAGTCCCTACCAGCAGCAGAAAGGCTGGGGGTCAGGAGAGGGCTTAGTATTAGACTGGGAGCTGAAGGGCCAGGGGTCAGAGGCTAGAGATGAGGAAAGGCAAAGGGAGAGAGATGCCATTATGAGGACACAGGGCAGAGAGGAAGGAAAGCCAGGGAGTTGTGAGCAGAACCCAAAGGGGAGAGGATGGTAGCTGAGGATTACTGGGAGCTTACCATCACTTTTCATAAAGGTCTCTGCTCACAGTGGGCACTGAATATATGTTCCTGACCAGACGATTAAAGTGGACGAATGGGCCTAGATACTGAGGAGGGAGATCAAGGAGGGGAGGGTGAGGAAAAGAAGGCAGAAAGTAGGAGATGTGCATAAAACACCCTAGAGCACAAAGGCCTCAGTCTGAGTGGCAGCGCCCTCACCGGTGCACGATGCCTTTGCTGTGAAGGTAGGCGATGCCCAGGGTCAGCTGGGAGAACCACTTTCCAGCAAGGGGCTCAGAGCAGGCCCCGTAGCGCTGGATCCACTCAAGAACGTCACCACCCTGAGCCAGCTCCAGGATGATGTAGACCCGGGATGTGGTCTCGATGGCCTGATAGAAGTTGATGAGATGCTTGTGCCGCAGGACCTTCATCACCTGGCTCCAGAAGAGGGACCCGTCAAACCCAGGCAGGGAGCTGTGCTCCAGCCCTCCTCTCCCTCTGCTGCCTTTTTAGAGCTCTGCAACAGGATCAAACCCCAGAGGGCTGGTGGCCTATGGACAAACACTACGTTTTGTACTTTTGCTTTTGGAGGGTCTGAAGGTGAGGTGGAAAGAAACTAAATTTTCCTAGCTGCCTAGCGAGTCATTCAGTTGTGGTTTAGTGGCTTCTGGCTCCACCCCCTCCTAACTGTACCCCCTTTGAGAACCATTAAGTAGCTTGGTATCAGTTCCCTCTTCTAGACCCCTTTCCAACCTGTATCTCACGGGGCAGGAACTTGTTAAGATAGTCCTCAGAGGCCTTCTTCTTCGAGATGATCTTGACGGCCACCATGACCTTCTGCTTTGTGTAGTAAGCCTCATACACTGTCCCATAGGAGCCATTGCCAATGACTTTGCCCACTTCGTAACCATACTCCTCCATGACAGAGCGGTAGGCCGAGGTGGGTGGTGCTTCCACGTCTCCCTTCCCCATGATGTTGGGCTTGCTGAGTGCAGGGAGCTTTGCTACTTAAAAGCCTCCTGTCTGCCTAGAAAGCCAACACCTTAAGCTGCTGTAGGCTAGGGTACCAAAGTGAAGTTAAAAGTCTCCAAAAGCTTGCCTGTATAGTCACACAAGTCTGGGATGCTGGGCTTAGCTCTCCACTAGGAACTTAGAGGGGAAAGAAGGGAGAAGCAGTTCTTTTTGTCTACACTGGCTGTTGTTACTTCTTTCTCCTCTTGGTTACGGAACTCCCCAAGGTCCCATGTTCTGCACACATCATAATTCACCTTCTATCCACCACTGGCCACAAGGCTTAAGAGGAAATGCAGTTTCATGCTGGAAAGATCCCTTTGTAATCTGATGAGACTCATTCCATGGATCTGGTCCTTTCAACCAGTCATGTTTATTGAGTACCTGCTATGTGCCAGGCAGGGTGTGGCATCCTGGAAGAAAATTGCCAGTAAGACCAATAGAGACCCTATGCTACTAGTGCTTATAATCCAGCATGAGAAACACCTGAGTATGAGAATATTACAGAGAATGGTAAGGTGTTGTAGAAGCATGTTCTAAGGGGTCTAAAATATTCTTTTTGTGGGGGTGGCTTTTTTTTTTAAAAAGAGTGAGCTGGACTCACTTGGGTAGTTCATCTGGTGACATCATCTCAGCTAGGCTGGTTTGTTTCTGCATAAGTGAAGTGAAAGTTGCTCAGTCATGCCCTACTCTTTGCGACCTCATGGACTATACAGTCCATGGAATTCTCCAGGCCAAGATACTGGAGTGGGTAGCCTTTCCCTTCTCCAGGGGATATTCCCAACCCAGGGACTGAACCCAGGTCTCCCTCATTGCAGGCGGATTCTTTACCAGCTGAGCCACAAGGGAAGCCCAACAATACTGGAGTGGGTAGACTATCCCTTCTCCAGGGATCTCCCAGACCCAGGAATCAAACTGGGGTCTCCTGCATTGCAGGCGGATTCTTCACCAACTGAGCTATGCATATCATGTCATTATTCAGTAGACTAGCCCAAGTTGCCTTACATAGTTTGCACTAAATTCCAAGTGGAAAAAAAAAAATCAGAAGCTGCATGACCAATTGAGACCTAGGCTCCAAAATAAAAAAACATTACTTCCATACCTTTATATGAATAAAGACAGTTACAAGGATCACTCAGATGTATGGGGTGGGGATGGAGATGCCTCTTAACCTTGAAATGCACCCTTATCTTGCCTTCCATGACCCTGGACTCTAGTTTTCCTTACATCCTGCCAGCCATTCCCCAGGTTCCACTGGAGCCTCTCCCACCATCCATCCCTGTAACAGAACCTTATTTCTGTTATTTCTCCCTCTATTCCTAATAGAAATAAGGTTCTGTTACAAGCCTTATTTCCTCTGAGCTTTACATGCTTCCTAAGGATCTCATCAAGACCCATTTCTTCACTGATGACTCCAGCAAGCCTTCTGCTCCTCATCCCTTAGTGTGTTCACCCTGAAGTCCAGGGAGCAAATCTGCTTTTGTTCCCGCAACAATTCAGTGCCTCCCCATTCTCCTTAGGATCAAGTCGAAATTCTTCTATGTGACTTCAAATTTGACCCCACTAACCTCTCTAATTTTCTGTTGTAATATACATGCAATGCTCCAGCCAAACATCTGCTTTTCCTTCATTGTTCCCTCTGTTCTGGCAGACTTGACTCTCTTCAGGGCTTAGCTGATGTGCTGTTTTAAGGAAGCCTTTACTGACTGCTCAGGTACAAATCAGATGTCCCTCCCTCATGAGTGCTCCCACAGCTCCAATACTTTCTCTAATGTAGTGTCTTCTTTTTCTTGCTTGCATCTCCCGCTAGGCTGTAAGGAAGGTCAGTTGATGAGGGAAGGGGTATGAAGTCAAAGATCTGAGAAGAAGGGCTTGTGGAGAATGGGAGAGAGCTGACTGGGAAAATGAACATTATCGGGCAGCACTGAGGGTCCAATTGAGATTGGAAAACCCAGCTTATGGACACACAATCTTAACACAGTATAGTGTTAAGATTTTTTATCTTCCATCCTCCAAAACAAAACTTTCAACAGATTATGCCATAGGCTACTGGTAAATTCTCATTTATTGACAGTCCTGCTGGCAGGGTGACTGAAAATCCTGTTGGAATCAGATCTACATCCTCAGTCTATCAAAATGAGCAGCTGTCCAGGACACACCATGGTAAGGAGGCTCACCCGGCCCTGCCTGTCTTCTGCTCCCCTGGATAGGCAGCTTGGTGGCACCTCTGTTCTCATCATGTACAGCAGGTAAATCAGTTCATGCAAGGAATGTGTATTAAGCTGCCTCAGTTCAGTTCAGTCGTGTCTGACTCTTTGTGACCCCATGGACTGCAGCACACCAGGCCTCCCTGTCCATCACCAACTCCCAGAGCTTGCTCAAACTCATGTCCATTGAGTCGGTGATGCCATCCAACCATCTCATCCTCTGTCGGCCCCTTCTCCTCCTGCCTTCAATCTTTCCCAGCATCAGGGTCTTTTCTAATGAGTCAGCTCTTCACATCAGGTGGCCCAAGTATTGGAGCTTTAGCTTCAGCATCAGTCCTTCCAAAGAATATTCAGTGAATCCTTTGGGATTCACTGGTTTGATCTCCTTGCTGTCCAGGGACTCTCAAGAGTCTTCTCCAACACCACAGTTCAAAAGAATCTATTCTTCGGTGCTCAGCTTTCTTTATGGTCCAACTCTCACATCCATACATGACTACTGGAAAACCATAGCTTTGACTAGATAGACCTTTGTTGTCAAAGTAATGTCTCTGCTTTTTAATAGGCTATCTAGATTTGTCACAGCTTTTCTTCCAAGGAGCAAGCGTCTTTTAATTTCATGGCTGCAGTCACCATCTGTAGTGATTTGGGAGCCCAAGAAAATAAAGTCTGTCACTGTTTCCATTAAGCTGCCTACTGTATACAAAAACACTGCTAGGTTGTGCTTGCTAAGGATTTATCCTTTGCTAAGGATACCAAAATGGATAAATTATAATCCCCCTGTGAGGAGTTAGCAATTAGCAAGGGAGAGAGACACATAAGAAGTTAACAAAATATTACAGTGAGATAAAGTTCTATAAACAAAGTCTGAAAGGAGATGTAAGGGAAGGCTTTATAGAGAAGGTGGCATTTGTACTGTTCAAAAGACAGGTAAGCAGGGAATGGTGGATTGAATAGTCTAGGCAGAAGGAACTATATGAAGCTTGCAGGCCTGAGAAAATATGACATTCAAGATTTCAATTTAAACACAGGATAGGGTTCCAGAGGGGAATGTACCTGGAGAAGTAATTTAGATCCAGGTCTGAGAGACCTAATATGCCAAGTTTTTTTTTTTTAATGGTTCTGTCCTATGTACTCATGGTTAAATTTTGGTATGCATCAAAATCAGAGCTTGTTAAAAAAATACTGATGCCCAGTAACGTCCTCCCCAAGATCCTGATTTGGGAGGGGACCCAGGTATCTCTGTTTTTAATAAATTTCTAGCTGAACTTGATGCATACTGAGATTTAAGAACCGTTGTTGCAAACTAGTGAATTTACTTTTTTTTTTGGTCGCACTGCAAGGCATGTGGGATCCTAGTTCCCCAACCACGTTCCTGGCATTGGAAGCAAGGAATCTTAACCACTGGACTGCCAGGGAAGTCCCAAACTAGTGAATTTAACAAAAAGAAGCAGACTCACAGATAACAAAACAAACTAGTGGTTACCATTGAGGAGGGAGAGAGGGACAATATAGGGGTGGGGGAATGGGAGATACAAATTACTGCCTGTAAGATACGCCCAAGCATGTACAACATGGGGAATACAGACAATATTCTGTAATAACTGAATGGAAAGAAACCTTTAAAAATCATATTAAATTTTTTAAAAAAAAGAATCACTGTTGCTGGAAATAGGACATCTTTAAGATTAAAAAAAAAAGAAAAAAAACTTGCAGCAACAGTCTGGAAAATAGATACAAGGGGAGAGATGACCAAGAGAGAAGCAAGGTGGCTGTCAGCTTAGTCGAAGGGATAGGACCGGCACCAAGGCAGCATGGCAAGCAATTTGGAAGACACTCGAGAGAAAAGCAGAGGAATCCTGGTGGAACTGACTTATTGGGGGGTGGGGGGGTGGGCAGTGGCTGTTAACTGTGAAAGAGGCCCAAGTTTAGAGACCAGATGGTTGTCATATAAAAGATTATTCCAAAGCCACTCTAAGTTTTTTTTTTCTAATTACAAAACTCACTGTCTAAAAATCTCAGCCTCTACATCCTGGAACCTCACCTCCTCCTGCAGGGAGGGCTGGGTCAGAGAGGGCAGAAATGAGTAAATGAAGGACTTCTCAAGCCAGAAGTCACTTAACACTTTCCACTTTCTTTACTCGAGTAAAAGGAACCTTAAGTTGTTCTCAAGCGGCCAAACTCACCGACCCTAGGTCTGATCTCCAGAGGAACTTCCCTAGTGACAGATCCCTTGACAGAATAAACTTTTCCAGAATAATCGGCAATACAAAATTAAAAGATGCTCAGACACATACCAAGAACTTCCAGATGTTCAAGCTGAATTTAGAAAAGGCAGAGGATCCAGAGATCAAATTGCCAACATCAGTTGGATCATAGAAAAAGCAAGAGAATTCCAGAAGAACATCTACTTCTTGCTTCATTGACTACACTAAAGCCTTTGACTGTGTGGATCACAACAAACTGTGGAAAATTCAAGAAATGGGAATACCAGACCACCTTACCTGCCTCCTGAGAAGCCTGTATGTAGGTCAGAAGCAACAGTTAGAACTGGACATGGAACAACAGACTGGTTCCAAATTGGGAAAGGAGTACATCAAGGCTGTATATTGTCACCCTGCTTATTTACCTTATATGCAGAGTACTTCATGTAAAATGCCGGGCTGGATGAAACACAAGCTGGAATCAAGATTGCAGGGAGAAATATCAATAACCTCAGATATGCAGATGACACCTATGGCAGAAAGCGAAGAGGAACTAAGAGCCTCTTGATGAAGGTGAAAGAAGAGAGTGAAAAAGCTGGCTTAAAGTTCAACATTCAGAAAACTAAGATCATGGCATCCAGACCCATCACTTCATGGCAAATAGATGGGGAAACAATGGAACAGTGACAGACTTTATTTTCTTGGGCTCCCAAATCACTACAGGTGGTGATTACAGCCATGAAATTAAAAGACGCTTGCTCCTTGGAAGAAAAGCTATGACCAACCTAGACAGCATATTAAAAAGCAGAGACATTAGTTTGCCGACAAAGGCCTGTCTAGTCAAAGCTGTGGTTTTTCCAGTAGTCATGTATGGATGTGAGAGTTGGACTATAAAGAAGGCTGAAAAAAAAAAAAAGAAAAGAAATAAATGGAAAAAAAAAAAGAAGGCTGAATGCAGAAGAATTGATGCTTTTGAACTGTGGTGTTGGAGAAGACTCTTGAGAGTCCCTTGGACAGCAAGATCAAGCCAGTCAATCCTGAGGGATATCAATCCTGATACTCATTGGAAGGACTGATGCTGAAGCTGAGGCTCCAATACATTGGCCACCTGATGAGAAGGGCTGACTCATTAGAAAAGACCCTGATGCTGGGAAAGATTGAAGGAAGAAGAAGGGGCCCATAGAGAATGAGATGGTTGGATGGCATCACCAACTCAATGGACATGAGTTTGAGCAAGCTCCGGTAGACGGTGATGGACAGGGAAGCCTGGCATGCTGCAGTCCGTGGGTTCGCAAAGTCATACACGACTGAGCGACTAAACAACAAACACATACACACAGGTAAATAAAAATAAAAACAGTGATCAAAACATGTTAAGATGCTTTACTTGCAATTAAAAAAAAAGATGCTTCACTTGCAATTAATAATAAGCTCCAGGCTGCCCAACTCACGGGGTAAAAACCCCGATTTCTTTGCCTGCCTCTTAACCAGACCTGGCCCAGGATTGCCTATCGTCGGACACAGGACGGTCACTATACAGTCAAGGAGGCCTCCAGGACAGCCTCGGGAAGATACTTTTATTTACATATTTGGCTTTTGGCGAGAGGCCATTCATGACTGTTGGCAGAGCAGCCCTGAGGTGAGATCCGATTCTAGGGCCATTGTATGGGCTACGTCCTCGCTGTCCTAGGACAGCAACGCCCAAAGCCTCATCCTCGTCCTCGGTCGGAACCTTGAGCCGCCTCTCAGGACTCGGCCTCTGCACTTGCGGTGGCGAGTTCCATTGGTTCAGCCGGCAAACGCGTCGGGCATCCACTAGGCGTGGGCTAGCCGCCCCCGGGATCCGGACGGTCACTCGGTGCGCGCGGCGCGCACTGTTCTTAGGCGTCCAACCCCAGACTTCCCGAGGACAGGGGACCGGACTGTCGGCGACTCTTATCCAAAGAAAAACGTGTTTGTGTCCTCATAGTGAGGTCTCAACCGGAACCCCTCCGGGGGAAACAGGACGACGTAGCAGCGACTTCAGCTGAGGGGCGTGGCTCCCTCCAAGCTCCAGGGAAGGAGTTTTCCGTGGGGGCTGAGGTCCCTGCGGGCGAAGGCGGAAGGGGTAAGATTGACGTGTCCCGAGCTGCCCTTCCGATTGCCGGGAGGGCCCCGCGCCGGGCGACGCACTGGCGGAGAGTCGCTGGATCTGCAGAGGTGGGCCGACTCTCCAGCCGTAGAAAGTTCCTGCGGCAGCACTGAGGTGAGCCGAGCGCGACGTTTTGCGGTGCGGCCGCAGCCGCTGTGATCAGGCACCGCGGCGGCCAGCCCCGTGGAGGTCGGTCGTCAAGTCCTCTCCAGGCCCCCCCTAGCGCGCCGCTCAGGGGGGGACCCCGGCTGGAGCGCAAGAGCGGCTACGGGGCCGCAGAGGCCTCCTCGGCCAGCCCTTCCCGCGCGGAGCACCCCGGGGCTACAGCCGGAAGGTGCCGGAGGTGCGGGGCCGCGTGGCGTTGCCATGGAAATGGGCTGGGGCTCGCGGGGAGGTCCCAGGCAGGCGGGCTGCTGGAGAGGGTACCCCAGGTTCAGAGGACTGCAAGAGCAGAGGCGGAACCTAGTGTTCGGGCTAGAGAGACTTGGTGTGGTTGTGGCGGTGGGGTCGGGGGGTGGTGGCCTCCTGAGGGATGGGAGGAAAGGCTAAGGGGAGGAATTGGAGCCATTGGCTTCAGTTCGAAGAACCTGACGTGGGGGGGTTATTTGATCCCTGGTTCCCATAACTGCAGAACTCCCTCGAACAGGTTCCGCTGCCTTAAGGATGCCAGTCCTAGGGCATCCTCGAAGTTGGAGCTGCCGGTGGGGGCCGCTCCTGCTGCTGCTGCTGCTCACCGGCCGTGAGCCCGGGGTGGAAGGTGTGACACACTACAAGGCCGGCGACCCCGTCATTCTCTATGTCAACAAAGTGGGACCTTACCATAACCCTCAGGAGACTTACCACTACTACCAGCTTCCGGTCTGCTGCCCTGAGAAGATACGCCACAAAAGCCTTAGCCTGGGCGAAGTGCTGGATGGGGACCGAATGGCAGAGTCTCTGTACGAGATCCGCTTTCGGGAGAATGTGGAGAAGAGAGTTCTGTGCCACATGCAGCTCAGTTCCGCACAGGTCAGCCTCTCCACAGTGACTGGGACTCAGCCCTCCTTCCCAGGACCTTGAGTTTATGGTTTTCAAAGCACCTTTATGGAAATGATCCGATTTGATTCTAACTACAACTTTATGTGACAGGCAGGACAGTTGGTTGATACAGAAACATCCTTGCTCAGAAGTAACTTTTTTGGAGACTACATAGATGGTGGATTGCAGAGTTGATATGAGAGCCCAGGGCTCCTGACTTGAAGCTTCTCTGTTGGTCATAAGGTCCCAACTCCTACGTAGTCATTTTTTTTTTCCATTCCTACCTCTCAGCTATTTTAACTGGCTCCTTTACACTCTATTTTGCCTGTCATGCTTTTATCTTCAGCAATTCCTATCTTAGGGCATTTTCCCTTGGTCTACTCCAGGCCTTCCTACACCTTCTCCCTCTCCTTCTAGGCCTTCATCCTGACAAATCATACTTGTTCATTTAGGAGAATCACAACATACTAGGGTCTAATCCAGTGGCTCTCAGCAGAGGGTTTTTGTCTCTCAAGGGACATTTGGCAATGTCTGGAGATATTTTTGATTGTCAGGATTGGGGGATGCTGATGTTTAGTGAGAAGCCAGGGATGGAGCATCTTACAATGCATAGCCCCCCAACAACAAAGAATCATCTAGCCCAAAATGTCTTTAGTGCTGAGGCTGAAATCCTGCTCTAATCCGTTGCTTGGGGAGGCCTTGTCTGACTCCTGACTTGCTCTCTGTAGGTGGAACAGCTACGCCAGGCCATTGAGGAACTATATTACTTTGAATTTGTGGTGGACGACTTGCCAATCCGTGGCTTTGTGGGCTACATGGAGGAGAGTGGCTTCCTGCCTCATAGCCACAAGATAGGACTCTGGACCCATTTGGACTTCCACCTAGAATTCCACGGAGATCGAATTATATTTGCCAATGTCTCAGTGCGGGATGTCAAGCCCCACAGTTTAGATGGGCTACGACCTGATGAGTTCCTAGGCCTCACCCACACCTACAGCGTGCGCTGGTCTGAGACGTCAGTTGAGCGTCGGAGTGACAGGCGCCGTGGTGATGATGGTGGCTTCTTTCCCCGAACACTGGAAATCCATTGGTTGTCCATCATCAATTCCATGGTGCTTGTGTTTTTACTGGTGGGTTTTGTGGCTGTTATTCTTATGCGTGTGCTTCGAAATGACCTGGCTCGGTACAACTTGGATGAAGAGACAACCTCTGCAGGTTCGGGTGATGACTTTGACCAAAGTGACAATGGCTGGAAAATTATCCATACAGATGTCTTCCGCTTCCCTCCATACCGTGGTCTGCTCTGTGCTGTACTTGGTGTGGGTGCCCAATTCCTGGCCCTTGGCACTGGTGAGGTGGTAACAATTAATCAGGGATTTCTCTCAAGGGGTAGCACTAAGTAGGTGGTTTGTTCAGAAAAAGATCTGCAGAGCTTCTTTTCTGTCCAAGGTGAGGGGCAGACCTAAGGGGTGGGATGGCTCTAATGAGGATGCATATATTCTGCTGTGGGTTTTCTGGACAACAGAACTGGGGGATATTGGAAGCCCTGGGTCTGGGAGAAAGGGGGCTGGCTGATCCCTCTGAAATGGGATAAGTGAGATCTAACACAGGCTTTCCACTACCACCCTGCAGGCATTATTGTCATGGCGCTGTTGGGCATGTTCAACGTGCACCGTCATGGGGCTATTAATTCAGCAGCCATCTTGTTATATGCCCTGACTTGCTGCATCTCTGGCTACGTGTCCAGCCACTTCTACCGGCAGATTGGAGGCGAGCGCTGGGTGTGGAACATCATTCTCACCACCAGTCTCTTCTCTGGTATGACTGCCTGTTTCCTGGTGGGCCAATTTAGGAACTTAGAACACATTGTGGAATCTGAGATAGAGTCCAAGTAAGGCTTTAAGGGAATGAAAATAGGCAAAAGAAACACTAAAAAAGCCATCCAAAAGAAAAAAATGCATTTTTTTTTTGCATAGTTAAAAATGATTAAGCCCTTAAAATGTTCTAAGCAGCATGATAAGCACTTGACATGCCTTCATCTAATACTCATTACTAACTTTATGAAGTTGGTATTATTGTTCCCATTTTACAGATGAGGAACTTGAGCTTAAGGCTGGTTGGGTAACTTGCCTGAGATTATACTTCTAAAAAGCAGTGAATCAGGTTTCACAACTAGGCAATCAAATTCTAGAGCCTGTATTCTCAACCATTCCACTGAAATAACATTCTCGAATTTATCTTTTGATACTCCCTTTCTTTTTCCCAAAGTTTTTTTTAATTTGGAAGTGGGCTACCCCACTCCAGCCTTTCAAGCCAGCCTGTCCTTTCAAAGACAGTAATTTGCATTCTGAACCTTTTGTGTTTCCAACTCAAGTGTCTGATTTCTGTTCCATCACATTTACATTTGAACCAAGGCTTTCTGAAAACAGGTCCTTAATTCAAAGGAATGTCTCATACTAGGAGTCAACCAGTGCCATGGCAGGACAAGTCCTTGGAGGCAGGTGGATTTGTGTCATTCTTAGATCATTATGTAATGGGCTTGCCTTGATCCTTATTGATAATGGGTAGGGGAGGGAGTGTTGGTAAGCCAGGGAACAAAGAACAAGACATGAAAGGGTGGAGTCAGCCTGGGAGCAGGATGTTTCACTCCTCACCCCTTTAGGTCCAGTCTGATTGGTGCTCCCAGGGATGTATAGCTCCTAGTGCTGACCCTCCCTCTGGGGGCCCATCCCTGCAGTGCCTTTCTTCCTGACGTGGAGTGTGGTGAACTCCGTGCATTGGGCCAATGGCTCAACACAGGCTCTGCCAGCCACCACCATCCTGCTGCTTCTCACAGTTTGGCTGTTGGTGGGCTTTCCCCTCACTGTCATCGGAGGCATCTTCGGGAAGAACAACGCTAGCCCCTTTGATGCTCCTTGTCGCACCAAGAACATCGCCCGGGAAATCCCACCCCAGCCCTGGTACAAGTCTACACTCGTCCACATGACTGTTGGTGGCTTCCTACCTTTCAGGTATCCTCCCTTTATTCTGTGGCCATCACTCTCAGGATCCTGACCGTAACTTTCCCCTTCCCTACTCACCAGTACCCTAACCCAATGTCAGTGATGGTCCCTGGTTCAGAACTGTACCATTAAGAGATCACTAAGTGGTTCCTCCTTTCTCCAAGCAGGAGTATCAGTTCAAATATGAGGGTGTCTAATTTGAAAAGCTCTCCAGAGACATTGCTCCTTTCACTGTCTTCCTAGTTTCTGACCTTAGTGACACCATGTGGGGCTTAAAACCCATTTGATTACTCATTCAATTTGTTGAGTACCTTTTCATGTCAGGCAAATACAGTGGAAAACAGAACAGACAAAATCTCTGCTCTCAACCTACCAAAGATGTTCTTGAAATGAGAGCAGCTAATCACAGGTTAAAAAGAATCCCCCTCAAGCCAAGAACTCCAGGGCAGGAAGTGGAGAGGACCCACTTTTCACGGTGACCCAGTAACACGGAGGGGTGGCGGCTGCGCTGGCGATGCCCGAAGCCCTTTAAACGCTGTGTACCATCTCTTCTCTTCACAGTGCCATCTCTGTGGAGCTGTACTACATCTTTGCCACCGTGTGGGGTCGGGAGCAGTACACTCTCTATGGCATCCTCTTCTTCGTCTTCGCCATCCTGTTGAGCGTGGGGGCTTGCATCTCCATCGCACTCACCTACTTCCAGTTGTCTGGGGAGGATTACCGCTGGTGGTGGCGATCTGTGCTGAGTGTCGGCTCCACTGGGCTCTTCATCTTCCTCTACTCCGTTTTCTACTATGCCCGTCGCTCCAACATGTCAGGGACGGTACAGACAGTAGAGTTCTTTGGCTACTCCTTACTCACAGGATACGTCTTCTTCCTCATGCTGGGCACCATCTCCTTTTTTTCTTCCCTCAAGTTCATCCGTTATATCTATGTTAACCTCAAGATGGACTGAGTTTGGGGCGGCAAAACTATTGCCCTTTCCCTTTCTTCATGCTGCCCCCGTTCATTGGTCTCTTACCAACATCTCTTCCATTGAGTGACTGACTTGTGTGGTGGTTTTGTTGCCTTCCCCTTTGGGTCTCCCTTCAGAGAGGGCCTGGAAATTGAAGTCTCTATTATTATGAGTATATATTTGAACTTTTTTAAGTTGCTTTTAGTTGGGGGCCTGATTTTTCTTTTTACAATGCCAAAATAAAATTTATTAAGAAAAAGGTTTGGTCTGGATATAGGAACTCATGCCCTGCCGTTAAGGGCAATGTCCCCTAGGAGGCCCTGTCGGCCGCGAAATGCACGGAACTGGAATTCTCCGCGGAGCTTGGGAACCGCCCGTTGTGGGAACTTATATTACCAGGGCCCTGTTTCCACGGCTCAGCCGGCGGTCGGCCCAACGGAAGTGCGGAGCCTGAACTCCGCCGCTCCACTGGAGTTGAATCACCCTGGTGATGGGAGGGGCGCGGAGCAACGCCCTTTCCGCCGGAAGCGGAGTTCAGAGCCTCCACGTGCTGTCCCTCCCCCCTCCCGGTCCCGCAGCCGCGGCTCCGCTGCTGCCATGGAGCCCGCCGGCCTGGAACAGATCCTGCGGGAGCTGCTGCTGCCGGACACCGAACGCATCCGTCGGGTACGGGGCAGGCGGGACCGGGCCAGGGCGAGTAGGGGATTGCGGGAACGGCCCGACTCTGACCCTCAGGCTCTTCCCAGGCCACCGAACAGCTCCAGACAGCTCTTCGGGACCCCGCCTCCCTCTCCACGCTCTGCGACCTGCTGGCCTCAGCGGGTGACCCTCAGGTGAGGCTTCTGGCCCTTCCCGCTGAGCTATAGTACGCCACATGTCAAGTCCTAGCTTCTGTCCTCGGCCATCCGCCCAGCATCTTCCTGCCCCGGTCCTCACACGCCGGCTTCCTCGTCCTTCCCCCGGACCCTCAAACGCCTGCTTCCTCGTCTCAGATCCGCCAGTTCGCGGCCGTGCTGACCCGCAGACGATTGAGCACCCGCTGGCGTCGGCTGGCGGCTGAGCAACGGGAGAGGTGGGTTGGGCCAGGGGCGGGGCGGGGCCAGGCTGAGGCGGCTTCTGAGTACCAATCTTATGCCACCTGTGTTTCAGCATCAAGTCCTTGGTCCTGACCGTCCTCCAGAGAGAGACAGAGTAAGTACCTACCTGCCTCCTCTCGGGGTCCTAACTGGCTCCAGGCTGAGATCTTTTCCCCCTTTCTGCCGCCTTTTTCAGCAATAGGCTGGGTCTTGGGAGGCAGGGACTTTGGTTCTAGATCAAGGGTGAGAGGAAGAATTTTTCTCAGGATGTATTAAAGACTAAAGTTCTTGAGAGTGGGCTGTGATGGTCTGGCAAACTCGAGTCAGAAGAATGGAACTGAAATTCAATATGAGTCAACCCCACCATGCTTCTATTTCTCTCTTGAGTTGCCGTCTTGTGTCCCAACTTGGCAGAGACTATGTGTGCACACCTGGAGGTTTCTCTCCTGGCCACCCTCGGGAGACAGAGCCATCGTGTGCAGAAGGGGAGTTGGAGGGTGACTGAGGGTGGGCAGTCTCTCCTGTTTGCAGGCATTCTGTGAGTCTTAGCCTGGCCCAGCTCTCAGCTGCCATTTTTCGAAAAGAAGGCCTGGAGGCCTGGCCTCAGCTCCTGCAGCTTCTTCAGCACAGTACACACAGCCCCCACATCCTGGAGAGAGAGGTACTGTCCCATGGTTGGTGGGGGGAGGGGACCCAGAGGCTGGATAGACTGTAAGCTTTTCTCTCTCACCCCTTCTTCCTGAGCAGATGGGGCTTTTGCTTCTAAGTGTGGTGGTGACCTCCCGACCTGAGGCCTTCCGACCCCACCACCGGGAGCTTCTCCGACTTCTGAATGAGACCCTTGGTGAGGTGGGCTGTCCTGGGCTCCTCTTCTATTCCCTGCGCACTCTGACCACCATGGCCCCTTACCTTGGCATTGATGATGTGGTGAGATGTGGGCCCTTATCTTCCTTGGTTCCCGTCCTTGGGCTTTTGTGTCCTTCCCCTAGCGGACACAGGTCTACTTGAGATTCTTTCCCTGGTTTTTGTTTTGCCTAACAGTTGAGAGGGGATCCTGTGGTGGCTGTGCCTGGACTCCTCCTATGTCCAGACTTTGAGGAAGTGGACAGTTTCTGGGGCTGGAGATTAGGCTGTGTCATGCTTTCTGTGATTCATCTCATCTTGTGTCCTCCAGCCTCTTGCGCGGATGTTGGTGCCCAAGCTCATCGTGGCCGTGCAAACTCTGATCCCTATAGATGAAGTAAGGACATTTGGGTGGGAGCTCTGTCGGAAGGAGTGAGAGTTGCAGGAGTGTTCAGCCTGATCCACTGAAGAAGAGCATGATAAGCCTGTGACTTCTCTGTTTGGCAGGCAAAAGCCTGTGAGGCCATGGAGGCCCTGGATGAATTGCTGGAGTCAGAGGTTCCCATCATCAGCTCGCACCTCTCAGAAGTCCTCACATTCTGCCTGGAGGTGAGCCTGGGGTTGGCACTGTCCTTGCTGCTCATTCTGCTGGGAGCTTCCTAGCCTGTTTCTGATTTGAGCTCGTCTGTGGGCAGGTGGCTAGAAACGTGGCCCTGGGCGATGCAATACGTGTGCGTATTCTTTGCTGCCTCACTTTCTTGGTCAAAGTCAAGAGCAAGGTGAGTTGCCCTCTGACACACATCAGTCCACCCCTATTTCCTCCTCTGTCTCACTCTTGGGGCTTGCTGTCCTTTTGGGGATATGTAAAATACCATAGCTAAGGTGTTCCAGATTTGGTCTGGACTCAGCCCAGCTCTTGGCTTGGGGACTGGGAATCTACTGCTGGACCCCTTGTAGCCGGGAAGGCTAGAATTTTAAGTGTGAGCCCATCTCGGGAGCAGATTCTCGGGACACCCTTTCATCCTTCCCCTTCAGGCCTTGCTGAAGAATCGCTTCCTGCCACCCTTGCTGCAGACGCTTTTCCCCATCATGGCTGCCGAGCCCCCCGCGGGCCAGCTGGATCCTGAGGACCAGGATGTGGAGGAGGAAGGGCTGGATCCTGGGCTGGTGGGGGAGACCCCCAAGCACTTTGCTGTTCAGGTGGGACGAATGTGGAGGGTCCGGTGGCTGGGGTGTGAGGTGGTTGGAGAAGGTCGCGGGGCAGAGATGGGAGTCCAGCTAGGTCTTCCTGTCCTATTCCAGGTCGTGGACATGCTGGCACTCCATTTGCCTCCTGAGAAGCTCTGTCCCCTGCTGGTAAGTGTGGCTCTGTCCTTCCAGTGATCCTAACCCCGGGTTTGCCTAGTCCCCCTGATGCTGAGGATGTTTGGGCTCTGCTAGGCGTGGCAGCTCTTGCTGGGGTCTCAGGAGACTGCCATCTACTTCCCTAGATGCCCATGCTGGAAGAGGCCTTGCGGAGCCAGAGCCCATACCAGCGTAAGGCTGGGCTCCTGGTATTGGCGGTACTCTCCGATGGAGCCGGCGACCACATCAGGCAGAGGTGTTTGTTCCCCTGTCTTGGAGTGAGGGTGGGCAATGGTGAGGAGGACCACAGCGCCCACGGCAGTCCTGGGCTGCGATTGTGCTTCAGCCTCATCATCAGTAGCATCTGTTCTTCCTCTCAAACATCCTGATCTGGCAGATAAATGTGCATACCCCGGCGGCTGGTGCTTACCATCTAGTGACAGAAAGCTTGGTTTTCCCAGGGGAAAGCTTGGTTTTCCCAGGCTGAGCAGCCTGGCCCAGTCCAGGGATCTCAGGTCCTGCCCCTCAGACTCCATCCTCTTGTCCTGCCCCATCCAGACTGCTGCCCCCACTGCTGCAGTTCGTGTGCAAGAATCTGGAGGACCCATCGCAGGTTGTGCGCAATGCCGCGCTCTTTGCTCTGGGCCAGTTCTCAGAGAATTTACAGGTCAGCAAGGCCACAGTGGGCAGCCACCATTCCAGAGTTCCCACTGCCCCCCCCCAACCCCCTGCCCCGTCCCAGGGATCAGCTCATCCCTCAGCTCATCCTTCTGCATACCTGCTGCTCTCAGCACTTAGACATGTGCACTGCAGCTAAGCTGACTCAGACTCCCTTTCTCCTCCCCCCAGCCCCACATCAGCAGCTATTCTGGGGAGGTGATGCCACTGCTCCTCGCCTATCTAAAGTCAGTGCCTCCTGGGCACACACATCACCTGGCCAAGGCCTGCTATGCTCTGGAGAACTTCGTGGAGAACCTAGGTAATGAGGGCACTTGGGGGTGTGAGGGAGTGGATGGGGCTGTGGTTTTGGCTGAAAGGGCAGGATGTGCAGCTCCATGAACCACTGCCTGTGGTGGGGACAGGTGTGGTAGGGAGACAGGCATGGTGGAGCCACAAGGCGGGTTGGCCTGGAGGCAGGTATGAGGATCTTGTTTGGTTGCTGGAGGGGTGCCCTTTCCCACAGGGCCTAAAGTCCAGCCCTACCTTCCGGAGCTTATGGAGTGTATGTTGCAGCCTCTGAGGACCCCCAGCAGCTCCCGGTCCAAGGAGTTGGCTGTGAGCGCCCTGGGAGCCATTGGTGAGTCAGAGGCCAGAGGTGGGCGCCCGGGGTTCACGCCGTTCACTCACTCACGGTGCCTGTGGTAGGTGATCCCGGCTCACCCGCTGGCTCTGAGTCTGTCCTTCCACCCACAGCCACGGCTGCCCAGGCCTCCATGCTGCCCTATTTCCCCACCATCATGGAGCATCTGCGGGAGTTCCTGTTGACGAACCACGAGGACCTGCAGCCTGTTCGGATCCAGAGCCTGGGTGAGTGAGGGGCTCCTGGCAGGCTTCCCGGGGCCGGAGAGGGGCCAATGCTCCCCTGATGTTCATAGCGATGGGCTCCGGGGCAGCACAGTTGTCTCCCTTCCCTCGCACTGTACGCAGGGGTGGGAGAGGTTTCTGAATCCCCCTCAGCTACCTCTGGTTCCCCAAGCCTTGGCCCTGCACACCTCTAGCCTATAGCTCCTGGTGCTAACCATGCCCTTGCCTCCGCAGAGACGCTTGGGGTGCTGGTACGAGCAGTAGGGGAGCCCATGAGGCCCCTGGCTGAGGAATGCTGCCAGCTGGGGCTGGGCCTGTGCCACCAGGTAGACGACCCTGACTTGCGGCGCTGCACGTGAGTGAGCCCTCACCCTGCCTCCACCCAGACCCCAGACCTCCCGTTCTAGACCATAGGTTCCCCGGGCTCCCCCATCCAGCCTGACTACAGCAAGCAGGACTATGCAGCCTCCACCTGCCTTTCCCAGGTACAGCCTGTTTGCAGCCTTATCAGGGCTAATGGGTGAGAGCCTGGCTTCCCACCTGCCACAGATCACCACACTCATGCTGCTGTCACTGCGTTCCACCGAGGGCATTGTGGTGAGTGGAAGGTCGGGGAGGGTGTGGGCCAGTGGGGGAAGGCCACCCCTGGGATGGGAGCTCTCTCCAGGGCCCAGCTGAGCTGAAGTCCCTGCTGGGCCTCCCCATCCAGCCTCAGTACGATGGAAGCCGCAAATTCCTTCTTTTTGACGATGAGAGCAGTGGTGAGGAAGAGGAGGAGCTCATGGAGGAGGATGACGAAGAAGAGGATGACTCAGAGATCTCAGGGTGAGGGGGCTGCCTTTCTGGTCCAGGGAGTCCTGGCTTAAACAGGGGCCCAGGGACAGCTCTGCTCTCATTGGCACCTGACTGCTGCCACCTTCCCGCCTTACTCTAGATACAGTGTGGGAAACGCCTTCTTCGATGAGAAGGAAGACACCTGTGCTGCCCTGGGGGAGATCTCCGTGAATACCAGGTGAGCATTAGCCCTTCCCCAGCACTGGGAACCCCTCCTGGGACCCTCTTCTCCATGGTGGTGTGTCTGTCTGTCTGTCCACAGTGTTGCCTTCCTTCCTTACATGGAGACTGTCTTTGAAGAAGTGTTCAAGCTGCTGGAGGTAAGTGGGCTGATGGGCCGGTGAGCAGGGTCAGAGGGCTCAGGTTGGCCCTGCACACAGCATGCACGTCCTGCCCCTCCTCATGCTGCAGTGCCCTCACCTGAACGTGCGGAAGGCAGCCCACGAGGCCCTGGGTCAGTTCTGCTGTGCACTGCACAAAGCCTGTCAAAGCTGCCCCTCGGAATCCAACACTGCTGGTAAGAAGAGGAGGCTAGGGCCCCTGGAAACGGGGTGGGTGGGGAGGGGGCAGGGCCTGACCAGGGCTTCAGCCAATCGTGTCCCCAGCTCTGCAGGCCGCGCTGGCCCGGGTGGTGCCGTCCTACCTGCTGGCGGTGAACGGGGAGCGAGAGCGCCAGGTGGTGATGGCCGTGCTGGAGGCCCTGACGGCGATGTTGCGCAGCTGTGGCGGTCTGGCACTGCAGCCCCCAGGGCGGCTTGCTGAGCTTTGCCAGGCGCTCAAAGCTGTGCTGCAAAGGAAGGTGAGGAGGTGGCCCTGGGTGGGGCTGGTCAGAGACATCCCCCTCCTTCCACCGCATGGAGACGGGAAAGGGCTGGAGAGCCCAGACTGAGCTGAGCACCCTTTCCCGCAGACAGCCTGTCAGGACACTGAGGAGGAGGAGGAGGAGGAGGAGGACCAGGTGAGTGCTGCGGGTGTAAACGGGAGCAGGTCATCTCCATGGGGCAGGCGGACAGTGCACTTGGCCTTGGCCTGGGGGTACAGGGGCTGCTCAGAGATTGCAAGTGGCTCTGAACAAGCAACCCTGCTCCAGCTGAGGCAGTGGAGATTCAAGGAAGGCTTCCTGGCGGTGGGGATTTGGGGCAGGCTTGGATCAGTGGATGGGAATAGGAGAACCAGGAAGGAGGAAAGGCTGGGCTGCAAACCACCCTAGCTTGGGAGGGGCCCCCAGTCCTGTCAATCAAGGGCAGCCCTCAGGGCGACCACCTGCAGTTGGCACGATGGGAGCTGCTCCCAGGCTCAGAGCTGGCCCTGGTACTCCAGCCTCTGACTTGGCCCCACAGGCTGAATATGATGCCATGTTGCTGGAGCATGCCGGTGAGGCCATCCCTGCCCTGGCAGCTGCGGCCGGGGGAGACGCCTTTGCCCCCTTCTTTGCTGGCTTCCTGCCATTACTGCTCTGCAAGACGGTGAGTGCTCTGTTCTCTTGACTTCCAGCCCTGTTCCTCCCAGGCCCCAGTGCCCTCCTCCCCTATCTGTCCCCGTCCCAGGCTGACTAGCACTACTCCCCTCACCAGAAGCAGGGCTGCACAGTGGCAGAGAAGTCTTTTGCAGTGGGAACACTGGCGGAGTCCATTCAAGGCCTGGGTGCTGCGTCAGCCCAGTTTGTGTCCCGGCTATTCCCCGTGCTGTTGAGTGCCTCCCGGGAGGCAGACCCCGAGGTACGAAGTAATGCTATCTTTGGACTGGGAGTGCTGGCAGAGCACGGGGGTCGCCCTGCCCAGGAGTATCCTCAGTTTGCAGGAGGGGGCCTGGATGCGGTTGGGAGCATGGCCCTGGGGTTAGGGAGGGGAGCGGTCTGCCCGTGTGCCTGTTCCTTGACTTTGGACCAGACACTTCCCCAAACTGCTGGGGCTCCTGCTGCCCCTCCTGGCACGAGAACGCCATGATCGTGTCCATGACAACATCTGTGGGGCGCTTGCCCGCCTGCTGATGGCCAGTCCCACGACGAAACCGGAGCCCCAGGTAAGGTTGGGGGGCACCAGGCAAGGCCAGGGAGCTGCGGAGCATGTGGGGCCAGGGGCCAAAGTCTTCCCTGTGTCCAGGTGCTGGCCCCGCTGCTGCACGCCCTGCCACTGAAGGAAGACCTGGAGGAATGGGTCACCATGGGGCATCTCTTCAGCTTCCTGTACCAGAGCAGCCCTGACCAGGTAACCCCGACACTGGGGCCCTTGCAGAGGGCTTGATGCTCTAGTCTTATTGATGGGCAGAGTTAGCGTCCGTTGAAGCTACTCTTCTCAGCTTTCTCATTAGTCTGCCAGGATTGGCAGCCAGGCCTTTAATGTGAGAGAAGGGGCTTCCTCTCACCATGTAGCATTTTTCCCCAGGAAGGCTTTGTTTCCACCCTCTGTTCTGAGCCAGAAATCCCAGCTTTCATAAACTGATTTCCTAGACCACAGCTCTTTCAGACTGTGCTCCATGAAGCCTGGTTCTGCTGGGCCACCCCACCTCCCATTTTAATCAGAGAGCTCTGCTTTCTGAATACAATTTGTCTGAACCAAGTGGCTAGCTCTGGAACCATGTCCCAGTGCTCCTGTGTCTATCACATCTGTCTCGCACCTTCAGAGACTGTGTTGGTGGAGCTCCTGAGTGTCTGAGCTCCTTTTGGTTTTGAGGCCATGATTTCAGTTATCTGTGGTCACAATCCCATCCTCCTGCCACCCCCCTCCCCCTGCAAAATTACTACTACCCTGTTTCATGGGTCCTCAGGGTTCACAGTTGTTTGGGATGTCTGTTAATCAGTGTCAGGCTCAAACAGCTCAGGTGCGAGACTGCTTCTCTGGGGCTCCTCCTGCCCACCCCCGTGCTGGGGCCCGGAGGTTCTTCTGCCCCTTAGTCGGCCCATCTTTTCCCACAGGTTGTAGACGTGGCTCCAGAGCTCCTTCGTATTTATAGCCTCATCCTGGCTGAGAACAAGATCCCATCAGGTGAGGATGGCAGTTGTGGGCAGGGCTGGGGGGAGGCGGGGAGCAGCAGGGCTCGGAGGGCCTGGGGCAGCTAGGGTTGGGGGCCGGTCCTCTGCAGACATCTCCCTCTTCACTCTCCACCCAGACACCAAGGCAGCGCTGCTGCTTCTCCTCAAGTTCTTGGCCAAACAGCACACCGACAGCTTCCATTCAGCACTGGGCTCCCTGCCTGGCGACAAGGCTCAGGAGCTCCAGGCCATCCTGGGCCTCACCTAGACTGTAGGTTGCAGCTGGGCTGGAGAGAACAGAGCTCGCCCAGGCCCAAGACCAGCTCTCAGCCCAGTTCCAGCTCAAGCCTTACCAAAGATTCTGGGCCTGGGCCTCATAGCCACTTGGAGTCCCAGCCCTACTTGCTGCCTTATGGGGATGTCCCCTAGGGCTGGAGCTGTGGGACAATACAGAGTTGTGACACCATTCTGTAATAAAGGCAGTTTATTTTCTGCTTGAACGGTAGCTCTAAGAGCAGGAAGGACAGAGATACACGTTCAGAAGGACACAGTGTGATGTAGTTGGTTCCCTGGCAGCTTTGTAAACTGGCTCTTAAGTGTCATGGAATCGGGGCCCTGGCTGGATCAGGAGGCGCCCATATGGCTCCTCTTGTTTGACACGAAGGATCTCCTGCGCGGCCAGCACTGGTCAACAGGGCGGGGGGGATGGGGGGTGGTGGTCAGAGGAGTCCCTACCACAGCCTCTGGCCCGTGTGTCCGCTCCCCATCCTCCACATGGGCACACACGCTCCTCACTCACCCAGGAGCAGGTAGAAGACCCGGGCGGCCACCCTGCGGGGGCTGAGAAGTGGCACCAGGCTGTTGAAGTCGGGCTCCCTGTTGGCCTGCAGCTCCCGCGCCACTGCCCTGGGGTCAAGAAGCAAGAACCATCAGGTGAGGCCGCAGCCCCGGCCACCCCCGGAGGAACGTCCTCCCTGGTACCTGTGCACAGCCTCTGGCGAGAGCAGCTCGGGCTCGGGGGGCAGCTCCACGGGCAGCTCCACAGGCACCTCAGGGAGCTCAGGCACCACAGGCAGCGCAGGGGCCTCTGGCTGCTCCGCCTCCACCCAGGGCCTAGAAGAACACACGAGTTGGACAGAGCAGGAGAGGAGGTGGCGGTGACAGCCCCATCCTCCTGCTTCCCCCTCCTGGCCAGGGCTGCAGGCCGGCTGCTGCTCACCACCGCTCTTCTGGGGGCACGAGGCTGATGCGGGACTTCTCCTCCTCAGCTGCTTCTAGGGAGAGCTCTGTCAGGGAAAGGGGAGTGTCCTGAGCGGGTCTGTTTGCATTGGAACAGTCGGGATTTGGGGTCACCTGGCCTAACTGGGTGCCACAGCGGGCGGTGACTTGTTTACGGCACTTGGCAGGGAGGGGAATGAAGATAATCAGTCTGTGAATCCTTATGTTAAATGCACTGACAAGAACTGTCAGCAATTGGGGCTCCACTTTCCCAGGACAGAGGTTAGAGTGGTGGTCTCCACTGCCGCTTCTCCAGGTACTTACCAGCAGATACCATGAGGGGCCCACTGGGCTCCAGAGCCTCCCTCAGGACCTGGGGAAGAGGGAGAACTAAGGCCACAAGCGTCACACCTGGGGCAGGGCTAAGGCAGGCCCTTTGGCTCATGTGGGAAGAAGGTGGCCTGTGGGAGCTCAGAGCAGATGGGGTTCCAGGAAGGACTGAGGGGGCCGCTACCTCAATATCGCTTGGAGTCTCAGCCTTTCTTCTCTCCTCCTCAGCCGCTGCCTCCCTCTCAGCCTCTTCTAGCTCCTCAGGCAGCCTTCGCCTTAGTGCCCTTGGAGGTGGCTGTGCACAGTGGGTCCAGAAAGCCAGCAGTTCTGGGGGTAGCCAGCCAGCTGCAGAGAGGGGCAGCAGGGAGGGGGTTCAGGTGTGAGGAATAGGGGTGTGGGGGGTACCCTACACCAGCTCCCACCACTCCTCACAGTAAGTCGGGTTTCGGAACAGCTCCGCGGGGCTCCTGATCATCCTCTCAGGAGGCTGCACCATTGGCTGTGTGCAGAGAAGGCCAGAAAACTGGTTAGGAAGGAGCCATGGCCCTTTACCTGTAATGCCTCATTCCAGGGCCTCTGGCCTTCCGGCTCTTCCAAGCTCGTGCACCTGCCTGCTCTGCTCATTGTTAAAATGATTTTCAACTGATGCCCTTGGATGTGCTAGGCAGGGTCACGAAGTGGTGTGTGGGCAGCTCCCCAAGCCATGCGTTTTGGGGACTGTTCTCAAGATTCCCCCAGGAGTTTAGATGGCCCAGCATGTACCTGTCTCCCTCCATCCCTCCAGAGACTGGGGTGTACTCACACACTCCCTGCAGTGGGCTCTGGTTTGCATTTGTTCCTGGAATTCCTTCCGGGAGATCTGAGTCTCCTCATCCCAGAATAACAACTGGCGGCGGCGGCGACGAGCTGGTGGGCCCCTGGGAGGTGGGGCGACTGGGGGCCTCCTCAACTGAATGGGGAGGGGAGGTGGGGGCAAGGCTACCCATTACTCTCCTTCCTGAGGTCCTGGTGGACTGTAAATAGGCCCCACACTCCCAATCCCTAGAGGTGCCCTGACGAAGGGCTTGAGTGGGGACTTGGGGTGCAGCCCCCACTGTATGAGGTTCCCATCTGGGAAGTGCAGGCTGAATGGGGAGGGGAGGTGGGGGCAAGGCTACCCATTACACTCCTTCCTGAGGTCCTGGTGGACTGTAAATAGGCCTCACACTCCCAATCCCTAGAGGTGCCCTGACGAAGGGCTTGAGTGGGGACTCGGGGTGCAGCCCCCACTGTATGAGGTTCCCATCTGGGAAGTGCAGGCTGGATAAAATGGGGTGTGGACCAGGCTACCTTGTACAAACTTGCACAAAGGCCTGTGGAAGCCAGCAGGGGCCTTGAGGAAACTGAAAATGGGTGAGGAGCTCTGGCAGAGGAGGCGGTATGGAGGGGCACCACTCACCTCAGGGCTGACTGGGACGGGTGGCAGACGCAGCTCCAGCGGGGGTGTCACCTCTGCAACAACAGTCTAGGTCCACACCCTTGGACCTCAAAGCCACCCAGGTGAGAAGCTAGAGGCTCCTCCCTTCAGCGAGTTGGATTACAGAGTGTTGCCTGCAGCAGCTGTGCCGGGACCCCCAGGAAGGACCCTGGTTTGGTGGGTACTCACCGGGAAGTGGGACCTCCGGCTCCCAGCCTACCAGCTTCAGCTCTTCTGGGGCCAGGACCCGGCTGGGAAGTGGCTCTGCTGCCTCCTCCACCCTGAGGGGAAATGGGCAAGAGGATGAAAACACCCTCCCAGCGCTGACCCCTACCTGGCCTGGGGCTCCTGGCCTTACCCTACAAGAGCTACAGGTGAGGGCAGGGGTACTGTGATCTCCGCCTCTGGAGCCCAGGGCTCCTCTTTGAATTCTGTGAAGAGAGGATCAAGCTTAGAACACATAAGAGATGTGAACGTTGCCCGGCCCAGATGGCCAGTGCCCGGGGTCTGACCGTCTAGCGCCAGGTGGGTCCTACCTCGCCGACGTTCCTCTAATAAGATGGCTTCATCCTCCTCAGCAATCAGCAGCTCCAACTCTCGGCGGCTGACTTCTGGGAGTTCCCGTTCACCCTGTCAGGAGAGGTGCCCGTTTCTGTCTGAGACGTGCCACAGGACCAGGCCAGGCCAGGCTGAGGAAGCCTGTGGGTAGTCAGGCATTAGGGGACGGGGTAGAGAAACAGAGGCAAGAAGGTAGGACTCTAGGGGCAGAAGGAGCAGGTACAGGGGGCCTGGGCCATCAGACGCAGGACTCAGGCCTTGGGCTCTGTGCAGGGGAACAGCTCACCTCAATCCGCAGCATACGTATAGGCTCCGCCTCCTTGATCGTGATGGCTTCCGGGGTTACCCGAATCCTTTCTGGAGCGGGTGGGAAGTCACACAAGCCTCTGTTTCTTTTTTTTTTTTTTTAAAGCCTGTTTCTTTTCTTTTTTTTTAAAGCCTCTGTTTCATTTCAAGTCCCCACACCCATGTGTATAAGGCAAAAACAGACTCTAGAGTCAAGCCAACCTGGGTTCTAGTCAGGCCCTGGCCAGTCACTGGCAGTCTGACCCAGGACATATTGCTTAACCACTATGGGCTTCACTTTCCTCATCTGTAAAATGGGGATAATAATTCCAATCGTAAGAATCTTGTAAGTGCCCCTCCCAAGGCCTTGCTCCTGAAAGAAGCTCAAAAACAGCTATTTCTTCAGCCCTTGGGCGTTCCTCTGCCTCTCACCAGAAAGAAGGGTCTCTGCTTACCTGGCTTTGGAGGCTCTGCAGGGACTTCAGGAGGGATCTCTTCAGGAACTTTCTCTGGGGTCACGGCCTCTAAAAGGTGTCGAACCTTTGGGAAGGGATGGGAACAAAAGATCGGATTCAGCTTCAGTGCCCTGCTCCCCCACTTTCACAACCTTATTCAGACAATGAACAGTGACACCCCTTTATGCCTAATTCTGTGGCACTAACAGCAGCATGCAGGGTAAACCCACTCACCATCCAGCTCCCCTTCCTCCCATTCCTGCCCCAGCCTAATTATCTAGCCTGGGTCACTTTGTGAAAGTACTGCATCCTTGGGTCAAGTGTTATCAGGGACAGAGGAAACAAAAGATTCTTGATCTTGAGTATATTGTCTAGTCGGGAGACAAGTTTGTGTATGACCCCAGCAAAAGCCAGCACAAAGAATGCTGTGCTGCTGAAACTAGCACAATATTGTAAATCAACTACACTTCAATAACACCCTTAAGCTGTAGGGGTGTTAGGAGTGGATGGACAAAGATATGGAAAATCCAGTGCCGAGGGACACTGAGGGCCTGGATTGGGGCCTCGGCTCTAGGAATGGTGTGAAGACAAAAGCTGCCTCTAGGTTGGTCCTGAATAGGTAAGTGCAGCAGGCTTGTCTGGATAGGTCCACCATGACGGCTGTGGGGCAGAACTGGAGCAGGCCCCCACCTGCTCCCCAGCCCTGGTGTTAGGCTGGCACAGAAAAAACATGCCCCTCTGCGCTGTCAGCTCATCAGTCTGAGGTGTCCGAGGGGGAGGAGACCTACCTGAGGGATATCAAAGGGATCGGGCAGCATGGGATCCACAGACATCATCCCAAAAAAGGGGTCTGGAGCATCTTCCAGAGTCTCCATCCTGGCCAGGTGGTCAGGCAGCAGCAGGCTGGGTCTGAGGGAGACAGTGGGCTGTCAAGGACTGAGGCCAAGTTCTCTTCCAAAGACCGGGTGGTCCCAGCCCCAGGGACGCACTTACAGCTCAGTCTCCACCATATCAATGCGGATCTGCAGCTGGGCACGGTGCAGGCGCTCCAGGATGTGCTGGATGTCTTCTGTGGTCAGGGAGGGCAAGCTACAGTGCCCGCCCAGGGGAGGAGCCCTCAGCACTGCCCTACATCCGAGCCTTCCAGCCTTACCTACAAGGTACTGGCATTGTTGAGAGTAGACCCGGATGACGCCAATCTGGAGCTGCGCCGAGAGGTAGAGCGAGAAGCGGGGCCGCGGCGCACCCGGCAGCGGAGGCTCAACTCGCACCAGCACGTAATTGAGGATTTCCTCGCTGGGGGAACAGCGCATCCCATCACCGCTGCACCAGAGACCTACAGCCTTGCCCAGCCCAATCCATCCCCTAACCCACCCCAGCCCTGGGCCACTCTTTTCTGGGCCCTACCAGGTCTTCACCACATTCACTTTCAGGTATTCGCGCTTCACCAACCGGGTGCCCCGCGTCGCTGCCAGCCTGGAAGAAGAATGAGGGGTGTCGCTGGAGGGGGAGCCCTCAGGCTGGGACCCCTGCCTGTCCCTCCCGGAGCACCTACCCTGGCCGGGCCCGCCCTTACCAGATGGTGGCGAAGCAGCCGGTGTGGCGCTGAAGCACATTGGGATAATAGAACATGGTCCCTCCAGGGTTTCACCCTCGGCGACACCACTCCCGTTCAGATCTCAATCCAAGTTCTTCAGGGTACAGAATTCCCCAAACCGTCGGAGAGAAGGATGTGGACAGGTGGCGAGGCAGGTGGACCCAGAATGCCAAATAAAGGAACCGATGAACTACGGGTGGATAAATGATTAAGGGGATAAGTAAATGGAGACACAGACTGGATATACGTCAGCCCTGAGCCAGTCTGCACACCGCGTGGGAGCTTCGAACTTACGGGAGACGTGCAGGTTGGGTTCCAGGTTGGAGATGCAAAGATTCGTGAAGGAAGAAGGTCCGAGCTGCAACCGAGGCCTGGTCCGAAGGAGAACGGGTGTTCTCTGCAGACAGGCCCGGCAGCTGACTGTTGCGCAGCTTCGGCCGCTGCAGGGTCCCGCTCCTGCAGCCTAGATCCCGCCGCGGGGAGCGCGTGCTCTGGAGCTTTGCACTTTGCTCCTCATTAGATGGCGCGGTCTCCAGAGCAGCCAATGGGGAACAGGGTCAACTTGGGGGCGCTCGTTAGGGGCGCTAAGTTACCTGGCCCGAGGCAACAGGGGGCTCCCGAGGCAAGCAGCAACCAATGGGACGAACCCTGCAGGCGGTGGGGGGAAGGGTGGAGGGATTGTGAGGTGTCTGGACCAATGGGCTCTCATCCTCGCCCGGGTGACAGGGGTACCTCGGGGGTGCTTCTCCATGGACCAATGAGTGGGGAGGAGACTCCGAGCACCGAGCCTGGCAACAAGGGTGCTTCAGCTAGCCGAGAAGGTTGCGTCATGCCAAGGGCAATCGCCAGGCCCTGTGTAGGGCGCCTGCCTTGCAGTTAGACTTTACCCTTTTTCCGAATCCCACCGAGCAGCAAGTGGTTGGTCTGCTTTTGTGCCCAGCCTAAGGCCTACGGTGAACGGGTGTGAGGGGGCCTTGGAGCCACCACAGGTCGATGGGGAAGAAAGATCTCACAAGCAGCAGTGAGGGACTTGCCAAGTCACTTCCTAAACTTGAACATCTTAGGTTGTAGGCATTCCTCTCCTGACTGTTACCCAGGTGTGAATGTTCTCCTGGCTGAGACCTTAGTTTTGTTGGATGTAGGGCATATTTATCAGCATAACAAAAGCTGTTTGTTTCAAACAACTGTTTGTGTAGTATAAATTGTATGGTTAGAGTGCCCTTTCCAGCCTTGACTCCAGGGCATGCTTCTGTCTCTGACTCAGCTTTTCACACCATACACAAAAATAAACTCAAAATGGCTTAAAGACTTAAATAAGACATGACACCATAAAGCTCCTAGAAAAGAAGAGAGGGAAAACATTGTCAGACATAAATTGGAGCAATATTTTCTTAGATCAGTCTTCCAAGGCAAAAGAAACTAAACCCCCAAATAAACAAATGGAACCTAATGGAACTTAGAAGCTTCTGAACAGCAAAGGAAACCATAAACAAAAGGGAAAAAGCCTACAGAATGGAAAAAATATTTGCAAACGATGTGACCAACAAAGGCATAATTTCCAAAGTATACAAACACCTCATACAACTCAGTATCAGAAAAACAAACAATCCAATAAAAAAACAGGCAAAAGGGGACTTCTCCCGTGGTCCAGTGGTCAGGGTACACTGTTCCATGCTTGGTCTGGAAAGATCCCACATGCTATGAAGCAACTAAGCCCATGTGCCACAACTACTGAGCCCATGGGCCACTACTGAGCTGATGAGCCCTAGAACCCATGCTCTGCAACAAGAGAAGTCACTGCAATGAGAAGCCCATGCACTGCAAAGAGTAGCTCCCCACTCACTGCAACTAGAGAAAGCCTATTCACAGCAATAAGACCCAGCACAGCCAAAAATAAATAAAAATTTAAAAATATTTTTTAAATGGGCAGAAGATCTAAATACACATTTCTCTAAAGAAGATATACTGATGGCTAACAGGCACATGAAAATATGCTCAACATTATTAGAGAAATGCAAATCAAAACCACCGTGAAGTATCACCTTACATTGATCAGAATGGCCATAACTGAAGTCTACAAATAATAAGTGCTAGAGAGGGTATAGAGTAAAGGGAACCCTCCTACACTATTGGTGGGAATGTAAATTGGTGCAGCCATAGTGGAAAACAGTATGGCGATTCCTTGAAAAACTAAAAATAGAGTTACCATATGATCCAGCAATCCCACTCCTGACCATATTTCCAAAAAAGACAAAAAAAAGTTTAATTTGAAAAGACACATACCCCAATGTTCATAGCATTATTTGCAACAGGCAAGACATGGAAGCAATCTAAGTGTCCATCAACAGATGAAGATGTGGGGTATATATACACACACACACACATATACAATGGAATATTACTCAGCCATAAAAAAGAATGAAAATGCCTTTTGCAGCAACATGGATGGACCTAGAAATTATCTAAGTGAAGTCAGAGAAATACAAATATTATATGATATCACTCATATGTGGAATCTAAAAAAGAATATAAATGAACTTCTTTACAAAACAGGAATAGACTCACAGACATAGAAAACAAACTATGGTTACCAAGGGGGAAGGGGAGGAAGGGATGAATTAGGATTGTGGGATTAACAGATACACACCACTATATATAAAAGAAACAAGGACTTCCTGTATAGCAGAACTATATTCAGTGTCTTGCAATAATCTATAATGGAAAGAATCTGAAAAAAATGTACATAACTGAACCACTTTGTTTAGTACTTTTGAAACTAAAACAATAGTTAATCAACTGTAGTTCAATTAAAAAAAAACTCAGCTCTTATTAGAGCCAAACCAACCCTATATTATTTTGTTCCTTCAATCCAGGAACTCTTTTTTTTTCTTCAGGATTGTACCAGTTTATTCTTACAACAGGCAGACGATGATGCTTCGTATTACAATCTCTCAAAATCTCACCAGTATTACATGACACTAAACTTTAAAGCTTTTGCCAGTCTGATAGGCAGAAAATTAACCAACCAAACAAGAAACCACCACCACTAACAAAAAACATTATTGTATGTTACTTTTCCCTGATGACTAGTGACGTTTAAGTATATTTTAACAATGATTTATTAACCACTTGTACTTTTGTGATGGAACTACTCATACCTTCTGATTATTTTCCTCTTTGGTTGTCTTGTTTTCAATTGATTTGTAGGTGCTCCCTGTATATTAGGGATAGTAACTCCTCATATGTACTACAAATACTTCCATTTTTGCTTTGTGTACAATATTTCTTTAGCCCTAACTTTAATATATTTCCAGAATAAATTAATGTTTGCTGTATTTATAAAATATGGACTAAAAATTCCTTAGAATATTAACTAGCAAAAGAACACTATATTCCAGAACAAAATTAAAATGAATACATCTGCACATATCTGGACAAAATGGCCAAGAAAGAACTCAAGTTAATCTGTTCTACAGGAAGCTGTCTGGAATATACTTATTCATATTTATACATTAATACAGAAATTTTCATATCAACATCTCATTTCTTAAGAACCTCTAAAAACAAACACATTAACAGATATAGAAAAACATGTATACAGTATTCCATAAATTCACATTCTAAAAACGTAAATTCATATAAACCAGAGTAAAATTTCTCATAGTTTTTCTATCAACAAACAAAGAAAATCTGCCTGGTATTTTAAAATAATTTCATGAAAACACCAACTGTTACAAATACTAAATCTGTATTAATTGTATCATATAATTTAAAGTATCTTTGGAAATTCATTTTATATTCTTGATTCCATACCACTTATATGGTGATAAATACCTTCTCCCAATATGTAACTTATCTTTTCACCTTTTTTTTTCTTCTTTTGGCCGTGCCATTTGGCTTGTGGGATCTCAGTTCTCTGACCACAGACTGAACTCAGGGCCTGGCAGTAACAGCACTGAGTCCAAACCAATGGACAGACAGGGAATTCCCAAACATGCTTTTTCCCCTTTTCATTTTCTTTTTTGTTGTTGTTGTTGTTTTTTCTTTGTTATCTTTCTTTTTTTTTTTTTCATTTTCATTTTCTTTAAGGTACCTGTGCTCGTTTTCCTTGCCTCGTATTCCAACTGCCTTCTGGTCATATCTGTTTGTAAGGAAAAATTTTCAGTTAAAGGAAGGATATTCTTTTAGTGAGATTCTGAAGTTGAGCATAATACCAGTCTTTTTCCTTTTCTTCTTTATCAAGGCCAGCAAGAAGCAATGATCTCTCTTTTTCAAGTTCTTCTAAATAACCGGTATTTTCTCTGCTTCCATTTACAAACCCTCTTCGTGGAAATGAACCCATAGGAACAGGACTGCACTCTCCTGAGCGACTAGATAACAGATCCTTCTAGCCTTCCGTAAGAACGGAGGGACATTTTGGACCGTAGTTTCACTCCAGGGAAATTACTGCTATCCAAGTTAAGTTCTTTAAGACGCTCTAATAAATCAATCTGTCCAGAAGAAGCCATAGCTTCATCTTCAATACTTCCTTGTAGTTGTTTAAGTACTTCCTTCATATTAGATGCCTCAGTTTCCAGTTTTGTAAGATGACTGGAATTATCTTCTATCTCTTGTCGAAGATTTGAGTTCTCCATCTTCAGGGCCTCAACTTGCTTTAACAACTGATCATAGGAAGCTGCAGCCATCCTTGGCTACCCCTGGACCTGCCAGACGCTCGCCCCGCGGACAGAAGCACGGACGCAGCCCGGGCGCTTCCTCTCCTTTCCGGACACAGCCCCTGCCGCCGCCGGAGCTCCGGGACCCGACAGCACAGGGCGGTACCGAAGTAGGCAAAGCGGCGACCGCACTGGAGCAGACCGGGGTGGCGCCGGGGGCTCGGGAAGGCAGCTCTGTGCTTGACCTTCCTCACCGGTGGCCAACGGCGCTCCCTGGGAACAGCATCCCGCCTGGGCCCGCTGCGCCCGGGCCAGCGGCCGGGCTTCCAGCGGCCACACCCCGCCCCCGCGCTACTCGGCCCCCAGGAACTCTTTAAGATTGGGGTCTTGTTTTTTTCCTTTAGTGCCTGAAACTTGGCAAATATTTGTCAAATGAATGTACAATTGCCCTAAATTTACAACCACTGAATATTAAGGCTGAATGGGATTTCAAAATCTAGTCCAAGACTTGTCTTCATGGTGAGAAAACAGAGGCCCATACAGACTGTTTCTGCCAGACCACACAGCTCTGTAGTGGCAGCCTGGTTGGGAGTTCTACTCTTTTGAATTCCAGTGTTCTCAATCCTTCCTTGGTGCTTGGCTAAACTGGTTTCTACATGACACTTAGAAATTGTTTGGATCATATATTGCCAGTGTTCCTAAGGGTTCACACTGGGGCACAAACATGATAAAGTTGGGGCCATCTGCCCTTAAGGCACTTATAACCTAGTTTAAGAGATAAGGGATACAGTAATTTGTTCATTAATTTAAGAAATATTCATGTATCAGGCAGTCCTCCAGGCACTGGGGGTGTAGCAATGAACAAAGTAAGTCCCTGTTCTCAAGGAATAGGGAAGGAGTGATGATAATCAAATAAACAAATAGAAATGTATGAGGTCATAATCTGTGCTATGAAGAAAAATGAGGCCACATAAGAGAATAGAGTAGTGAGGGGTGCTATTTGGGTCAGGTGCTCAGGGAAGCTCTCTGAAGAAAAGGGGGCAAGTCAGTGTGCTTACCTGAAAGAAGAGTGTTATAGACAAAACAACAACAACAACAAAAATACAACTTAGCAAGTGCAGAGGTCCTGAGGCAGAAATGTGTTTGGCGGGTTCAAGGAGCCTAGAGCAAAGTGACTAAGGAGAAGAATGGCAAGGGGTGAGGTTAAAAAGGTGGCAAGGAGTCACATCGCCTTGGAGGCCAAGGAAAGGATTTGGGCTCTTCCCTGAGTGAACAGAAAACTATTGGAGGGCCTTGAGCAGAGGAGTGACATGATGAGATTTATGTGTTAAGAGGATCTCTTCTGTGTTGAGAATGGACTGAAGGTGAACACGAGTGGGAGCAGAAAAGATGTGGAAGGAAGCGGAAAGAAGAGGTGTGGGAGAAAACAGTGGTTGAACAATCAGTCTTAGTGAGGTAAGCAGAGGCCAGATTATGAGACATTCTGAAAGGGATGCTAGAACCTGCTGATGGGTTGGAGGTGGGGTATGACGGAACAGGAAGTAAAGGGCCTGTGTACCTGCGCACTCAGCACCCGACTTCCTCACTGCCTATGCAGGTGCCCATCTCAGGAGGGACAAGGAAGGTCCAAGGAGGCAGGAGGGCTCCAGAGCAGCGCTGACGTGTCAGGTGAGACAGTAAGGACTTCCTCAAGAAGCCAGACATCTATCTAGACTTAACAATGTAGCTGAACCCTTCAAAGCTTATATAAGTGACATGACAGGAAGGAGCTGGTTTGGGAGGTTCCTTCTCTGCCCATTTGGTGTCCTGTATGGGAAGGGGGGAAGCCGGAGGCTATGGCAGTTGGGTAAGTGGTGAACTAGTTTGGTGAAGGTGAATGTCCAGAGAGGTAGGAGGACCAGTGGCCTTGGAAAGAACTTCCGATTTGGGAGCAAGATAAACACGAGGTAAGGGAGAGAGGTGGTGGATTTGGGCCCCTGGGATCCCTGCAAATAGAGTGCAGCTGACGTGGCAGTCTAGGTTAGGTTGTCTGTCGTGGGGCTCAGACAGAGTAAAGAGACCAGTGTGGGAGCAGCTTTCAGTTAGGGTGGCAGTGCCCCAGACACTGGGAGAAGAGGCACCAGGACATGATCTGCCATGGGCACAGGAGGCTCTGCCCCTCGTCCCTCTGGTGTCCTCCTGTGCCAGGCCCCAGGGCCTCGAGCTCGTGGTTTCAGGTCTGTTCATTGAGACTTCCAGATAGGCGTTCAACCCTGGGTCGGATCAGAGGCCTCTAGCCACGGGCTATGGACACTGGATTTTGCCATGAGAGAAGGTGGCTCAGTGCCCTTCTTGGTGGCTGACCCCAACCCTCCCTCCAGTCCTGGTTGCCCAGAGGATACAGAGAGCTGGGCCCAGAACCCACAGAGCCTGGCAACTCCCTCTCCAGAACCTGTGGGTGGGTGAGGGGAGAGGGGCCCAGAGACACCAGCAGGAAGACAGCCTGGGAACCCCACTCTCAGGTGACATCTCCATCATCTCCCTGTGATCCTGCTGCCTTCTTCTCTCAATGAATCCGATGCGGAGTCCTTTTTCAGTAACATTTTATTTTAAATCCTTAGTGAAGGTCTAAGACGAAAATATAAAGTGCCAGGTTTTAGGGTTGGGGGCGGAGGGAAAGGCCCACTGAGTTCATACCATTTGGACTTGCCCTGTTCAGCTCCTCGGACATGAAAGAGGATATATCTCAAAATTGAAAAAAAAAAGTCACTCTTGAGTTCCCCACCAATCGGTGTCCATGAGGAGTTGAGGGACAAAGTCATCACAGACCACCAATGAGAACAGTCACTGTGGGAGGCAGGTCGACAGCAAGGAGGCTGAGGCTGTCTCAAAGAAGACCGGCGGGATAGAGAGGAGAGGAGGCAGCGGGTCCTGCAGGCTCTGCAGCAGAGACAGGGTGGCCGCCTGCTCCTCTGGGGTCTCCTTCAGCATACGCCGGGCAAAGGCCTGCTCCATCTGTGCGGAGAGGTGGGAGAGGGGTCGGTGAGCACCACAGGGCCGGATGCTATGCCCTGGGGCTTCTTCCCCAGGATGCCCTTCTCTGAAATATACCTCCCCCGTGCAGGCAGGCTCTGCTGACTCACCTGCACCGCAATCAGACTCTGTGAGGTGTGGCTGGGGTCAGGGTTCTCCTCCCAGAAATTCAGTGTCACCTGAAACTTGGGTGGGGGCCCCAGGCCCTGGAAATACCTGGCCAAGTCTGAGAGAGAAAAGGCCAGGAGTTGGAAGAAAGAGAAGACAGAAGGCCCCAGGCAGGGAGGGACGAAGGAGGAACCCATAAGGGAGGAAGAGGGGTGGCAATGGGGCCACTCGGAGACCAAGGCTAGAGCAGAAGCCAGGGGTGGTGAGACTGCTCTCTTGTGCTAGGAACTAAACTGCTACTCATCTGAGGACAAAGAGGGAAAGGGGCCCCCTTTAGGGGTAGCCGAGTGTCACACACCCTGAAACCTCTCTGCTGGGGGAGCTCAGAGTCTGCTTGGCAGCAGTCCTGGCTGCTAACACAGCCATGCCACACCTTGGTTGCCTGATCACTCCCTTCCACACTCACTCTCTGCATCCCCTATATTCCTGGCCCCAGTCCCAAGGTCCAGTTGAGAGCTGAATGGAGGCAGGAAGTGGAATTCTCAGCATGGTTGGGAGAGGGGGAACCCGAAGGCTGCCCGAGAACATGTGACATGCACAGCTCACACAAGTGTGTGGATGGTCTTTGTGCGAGTGTGTCTGGCGGGGACGGGGGTGTGGTGCAAAGCGCACCTTCTTGTAATTACTGCACGCTTCCATGTGGTGGCGCTCCTGAGATGCACTATTATGGTGCTGGGCTCCACCTGGGCCTTATCTTCTGTGGTCTTGGCCCAGGAAGGGGGGCTGCCAGGGCTGAGCCCTGGGATGTGCACCACACAAGTGCAGGGGCCAGGCCTGGATTGTGCTGGGGGATTGGCTAGAGGGAGCGCAGGGTGACGGCTGGCCCAGAGGCGGGGAGCGGGGGTGGGGGAAGGGGCTCAGGTGCTTGGCTGTTGCAGCCTCACCTCTGCAGAAGTAGCTGGTTCTGAAGAGTTCCACGCACTCGTTGCTGGGCAGCAGGTGCGGGCCCGGGCCAGGTGGCATCCGGGGCGCGTTCCAGGAGATGGGGATGGGGCAGAGGCGCTGCACAAAGAGGCCCCGGGAGTTGCTGGCCAGCAGGACCCCTCTCTGGAGCTGGCTCAGCAGGCGCTGGGCGGGCTCGCGTGGGCCGGGTTTGGGAAATATCACCTGCTCCATGCTGCACTGGGAGCTTGAGGGCTCAGCCAGGAGGCGGCAGTCCAGGCTCTGCACCTGGGCCTCACCCACCACACGCCCGTTGTAGATGAAGGTGAGCAGCAGCGAGTAGTCTGCAGACAGAGAAAGGCCAGCTGCCCCAGTGCCCTCCCGGGGCCTCACTGACTGGCAGGAAGTTTTGGAGAAATGAAGAGGGACGCCTTGCAAACTCAACATCCTCATTTTGCTGGTGAGGAACATGGGGCTCACAGAGACAGACCAAAGGAGGGCTGGTGAGCACCAGGCAGGCTGCGAGGTGGGGGCAGCAGCTGTGCCTTCTGAGGACAGAGAAGACCTTGCCTTTCCTATCCTCACCCCCCGACCCTCAGCAGCCGGGGGGTCTTCCACTCATGCTTTCCAAGCCCTTATGTGTGTGTGCGCTCAGTCGTTGTCTGACTCTTTGCAACCCCATGGACTGTAGCCTTCCAGGCTCCTCTGTCCACGGGATTTTCTAGGCAAGAATACTGGAGCAGGTTGCCATTTTCTTCTGCAGCGCATCTTCCCGATCCAGGGATCAAACCCAGGCCTCCTGCATTGCAGGCAGATTCTTTACCACTACACCATGGGAATTCCCTGGCTCCTAGCACTCAGGAGAGAAGCTAATACATAGGTTTCCACTGAGGCCTTAATGCCCAGGGTCTTACAGTTTACAAGAGGGTCCCAGAGACCGGGCCTCTACTTAACCCACAGAATCAACATCTCAAAGTGGATTTCCAGGGAAGAGAATGTGTAGGGAGTATTTTTGAGAAGTGAGCTGTGTCTGGAATCTGGCAGGCATGCTGCCTAGAAACCAGTGCCTCTGGGTCAGGGACCCTGCTGCAAGCCCTGACAGATTAGATAACACATGCATGGCCTTAGGACGAAGAAGGGGGACAAGGGCAGGGGTGAGTCAGAAACGCCAAGTACCTGAATCTGGAGGGGGCAGAAGCTCCAGGGACAGCAATTCTCCCTGGAAAAGAGCCTCAGCTGTGTCCCTACCTGGAAGGGAGGCAGAGGTACTGGTCATTCAGAGTGGACCGGGGAGTCCAAGGGCCAGAGGGTATGGGGTGGAGGATGATGCAAGAGGCAGGACCCTTGGTACCTTCCTGAGGCTCAGGGCTGCTGCTGCTGCTGCTGCTGCTGCTTCCACTGCTCCCAAAGTCTACACGGTCAGCTCCCCCGTTGGTCTCCACCATCTCCTGCAGACACAGTTCCTGTGGTTGGCCCACTTCGCCCCCAGTCACAGCTCTGCCCTCGGACCCATCCGGTTCCCTCCCCAGCTCTCACATTCTGAGGGGGCTCCTGGAGCAAGGAGGGGCTGAGTATGCAGTTCTTTGCGGTAATCTCTTCCTCTTTCTTCTCAGAGGAGGCAGAACTGTGGGGTCGCTTTGATGGTAATTTCTGGGTCCCTGATTGAGCTGTGGAACGTTGAGAGGGAGGCAGATGTCAGAGCCTTAAGTGGGCACAGAAGGAAGGAGGAAGACAGGAGGCAGTGAAAGGATGGGCAGGACTGGGCAGGGAACCTTCTTCCCAAGGACAGGGGCCTGGAGGGAGGCCCACCATGCTCCCGGGAGGCGCAGAACTCCATCCTTCCCCCCACACTCCACCCCCGGCTGCTGATTTTAGGAGTGGTGGGGCAGAGGGACACCCACCGGGGACAGTTCCTGGTGGTAGCAGCCGGTACACCTTGTAGGGCTCAGCGCCATCCCTATGGCCGATCTCAGGAACCTCCTCAAATTCACAACTTTTGTTGAGAGCACAGCGCAAACGAGTCTTCCAGATGGCAGGGCCTTCTGAGCTCCCCTCCCTGTACTTCCCCTTGTATATTGCCCAGGCCTAGAAGACAGCAGCAGTGAAGAGATCGCTGGCAATGGACCACTGACCCGGCTGGCTTCATGGATGTACAGCCCGAGCGCTTGCACAGAAGGGCTTGTGCTAGGTTTATGCTCAGCTGTTTGCATGCTGAGTTTTGCCTTTTCATCTTACATTTGGCTAGTCCTACTCTCCAATCTCCCCTTTATTTGTCACCCTACAGGATGACAGTGCCAGTGTGTGCTCCATCCCTCCCTCCAAGAGGCCAGTTTCCAGGCCTTTCACCTTGAAGAAGGCAGCATCCTGGTCCTCCCGGAAGTCCTGCTTGCCTGCGTGCTTCCAGGGAATCCGGAACATGGTCTTGGCTGCATCCTCCCAGCACACTCCTGGGAACTGCCCACTCTCCACTTGCTCCACCACCCAGTTCCGGAGCTTTCGGGTGCAGCGTGTCCTGCCTGATGCCATCCTAGGGATAAGAGCAACAGAAGTGTCAGGGGAACTGACACTTTGGGAAGAGTGAGACCCTGGCCCTTGGGGTTGGCTTCTGGCCAGGGCCCCCGGAGATCCCATTTATATTTTGTCTCCAGACATATCTCAAAATTCTGAGGTTGAATTGTTTCATTTCTGCCATCACCAGCAAGTATCAAAAATACTTTCTTTTTAACATCCCAAGCTGTCTGGAGGGAAATACTAGGCATTGGTCTTGATATTTTTCAGGAATCTCCTGTTTGGAAGAGAATTCCCCTTGTGTCCTGCTCCAGGTGAGATGTCTTGTCTAGATCCCCAGTGTTTACAGTAGCTGCTTCTGAGATGTCTCATCAACCCTCTTCACCCACCACCCTCACAAACTCCAAGGAAGTTTGATGTTCCCCAGACTTCCTCTGTGCTGCCCCAGGAGCAGGTGGGGTAGGGAGCTGGGGGCTGGGGCAGAGCTGCGGCGGAAGTGGGCAGGGCCAGAAGGCAAGAAAACAAGCAGGAGATGGGGCAGTCTTCTTCCCCAAACAGCCCCATAGCAGGTCCTCCTGTCCTTGGCCTGTAGGGATTGGGACACTGGCCCCTGATTAGTCTTTCACTCAGGCCAAACTTCTAGCTCCCTGGCTCACAGGCCTTCTGTCTATTCCTCAATCTAGCAGAGGGGTCTGCAGAAGCCCCTACCCACCACCTCCAGTCTGGCCAGGGCTTTCCAAACCGAGGCCCAAGCTGATACCCATTTTTGGTTAATCTTACCTGAGCTGCTGTGCAGGCAGTCCCAGGGCTCAGCGGACCTCAGCTCAGCTCAGCTCAGCTCCCAGCTGGGCAGCTTCTGTATCTCTCCGCCCCTTCCTACAGTCCCCACCCTAAGTTTCAGTTCTCCTCCAGGGAGGGCCTTTTCCCTGAAATCACGTGGTCTCTGAGTTGCAGGGCAACTGGTTACCACCAGGGGGAAGCAGCATCTGAGAACCTTATCTTTGGAATCCTGCTGTCAGAACGTGGAGGAGGGCCTCTCCTGCTTCAGGCTCCTTCCCTTTCCTCCCTTAAGATTCCCCTTGCTTGTATCTGACGTCTGTGACACTGCTGCTTCCCCTGGGAGGCTGCAGTGTCCTGGAGTCTGGCCTGGGGCCTCTGGATAGCTCTGTACCACTTGCCCATCTATATTCCCCCCATGGTGCCTGCTTGGTACCTACTAGGTGACCCCAGATATCAGCTGAATTCAATGAAAGAAAGAAAGGAGGCAGGGAAGGAAGAAGCTCAGGCCAGGTGACTGGACGGGGAGGGTTGCCCTTGTCTACCAACAAGTTTTAACAAAGCTCTGTTCACCCCATTCCCCTTTCCCTGGTGCCCCCAGATGGTTGGGTCAGGAAGGAAGAAGGACTACCAAGAAGCCTGGGAAAGGAAATGCCTCTTTATTGGTGCTGGAGTTGTTCCTGTGGGAGACGAACCACAGGCCCCTCTTTGGGACCCTCGCCCTCAGCTACTTCCTCCTGCGGGGGATACTCTGTCCCAAGGGAACCTCTTCTATCAGCTTCTGCAGAAAGAGAGAGAAGACGATGATGCTAGAAGCCTGGGACTCAGACACAGGCCAGAAAGGGGACTCCTAGAGAGTAGGGTCAGAGGCAAGGCTGGCGGGGAGGCTTTACCTGTAACAAGCGGGCGTGGTAGGTGGGGATGTCCTCCCCAGGCAGTGCCTGGGGGCGCGTGTGCAGGTAGCGGTCAGCAGCTGTCATCAGCTCCTCGGTTTCATACAGGGTGGCTGGGTCCAGTGAATGGGCATTGATGAGGCTCACAAGATACTCTTTGTAGTGCGCCCTGGGGAGATGAGAGGGTAGAACATTTGTTCTGTTTGGCTGATTTTAACTGAGTGTGCTGAGCTCCGTGCTGGGCACTAGCGTACTCGGAAGAACCAGATGGACGCCCCTTGCCTGTTGCTCTTGTAGGCATTTGCCAACCTGTGTGTGCTGCCTGCTGGGCCCCTGCCTGGAGGGCCCCCTCCCTCCTACTTCTCACAGGACCCACTACTCCCAGAGGCCCACTTCTCTGCCCAGGCACATCTCCAGTTCTCCTGTCCCCCATAACACCAAGCTCCATGCCCCGCCTGGCACTCACTGGCAGAGGCCAGCATAGCCAGCGGGAGTCTCCTTGCCACAGGCTTCGTCCCGGAACCCGTTGGGAACTTCCTTTTGCTCCATCACTCGACAGCCACCTAGGGGTAAGGGAAGGAAGGGATCCTTTGTCTGGAGGAGGCCACTGACCACAAAGGCCCAGGAGAATGTGGGAGGTGGCCTCTAGGAACAGGACTGAGGACAGGAGTCCCTGCTCTAAGTGGGGTGGGGGAGGTGTTGGGAAAAAGATTCCACTATGCAGACCACTTGTGATACAGAAGCAGGGACCAGGCTGTCTTTGCGTTTAGCTAAGCTCTTACAAGGTTAGCTTATTCTGTGATGGTCTTACTCTATGTAGATGGTAAGAAGTGGGATAGATTAGAATCACATGCAACATCTTTTCTCTTGTCCTCACAGAACCTAAAACAGTGCAACTAGTAAGTCTCATTAAATAGCCATTGAGTTAATTAATGAATTACTATCCTTTGGGAATGGGAGAATAAAATGAGCATCAAGGTTCCAGGTGCTTAAACGTGTCCTTACATAAAACAGCTGGGCTGTAAGTTGGACACAACCCCTGCTTCACAGAGGAAGAAACAAGCCCGGGGAGGCTGACCCACCAAATGACAACAAGCAGGCACAGGACGGGCTCCGCATCCTGGTTCAACCCCAGACCCAAGCCTCCCCGCCAGCCATCACACAGCGGGAGCCCAGCCCCTCCCGGGCCTCCTCCCGGGCCTGTCCCGACACTCACCTCCAGGCACTGCCCGGGCCCCCGCTGGGGGTTCCGTGTTGAACATGACATTATTGTCCTGAGGGCAGAAGGACAGGAGTTAGTTTCCCTGGATGCCAACCTGCTGATTTTTCTGCGTCCGACCTTTCCCTTCCTGCCACCCTACATCCTGCCTCCTCTCCTGGGCAGCTGGCAAACCAGTCAAGTTGGCCACCTGACCTGAAGTAGCTTTTGGAGCCGGACAGCAGACCAGTCCCGCAGGTAGAAGAGGCAATCTCGGGGGTGGTGGCCGTGCAGGGACTTCTTCACCTTGCAGTCAGGGTCTGGACATTTCTGGTGGAAACCCAGATGGGAGAGGGGCAGTTGGAAACTGTTGGGGTCCTGGCCTCTCAGGAACCCCTGCATGAGGAGTCTAGGGGTGGGGGAGATGGAGACATTGGAGGGTCTGGAGCAAGCAGAAGTGGGGAGGGGACAGAGAGAGGTGCTTTACCTCACCCCCTACTGGTCTCCTCTTCCCCTGGGCTGTGGAGGAACAGCCTCCGCTCCTCACTCCTCATGGGAGCCCCCACCCTGCTACCCCTTCCATCCCAGTCCTGGGGGCTCACATTCTTGGCGTAAAAGGCATTGTAGCAGCCACTGCAGAACTGGTGGCGGCACTGGGTGCAGTGAAAGTGCATGCAGCCTCCTCGGGCCAGTGCGTACGAGAACTTGCACTTGGGGCAGTCTGCAAGGGTCAGTGGGTCAGGGTTGGGGCTGCTCCTCAGGCCCCAGGAAGAGAGTGTCATTCTACGCAATGAGAGATTACTGGGCACCTTACCTATGCCGTTTTCCTGAAGGTACATCGCCAAGCCCTGGGCTTGGTATTCTGGGTCATTGGTGCGTTTCCAGTTCTGGAAATCTTCACAGCTCCGGCCTCGGTGCTGTTCCTCCCACTGCCAGAAGGAAGCAAGCTTCCCATGAAAGCTCCATGCCAGGCCCTTTTTGCTGGCCACCCCACTCAGATCCAGTGGGCCCTGACTCAGTATACTGCCATCCACCATGTGCTCCAACACCAAACTGAAGGGCCAGCCTTGGTTCTCTCGTCTCTTCACACCTGACACATTCACCAGCAAGTCTCGTTGCTGTCACTCCAGCCCAGCTCCCCTTTTCTTTATCCCTACTCTGAACAGCTTCACTCCAGGCCAGGCCAGCTCTCGCCTTGGTTACTTGCCTTGATGACCAGTCTCTGCCTCCATTCCTGCTTCCCTGTGGTTCAGCCTCCACCCAGCAGCCAGTGTGCCTTTGAATGCATAAATCAGGCAGCTTCAACTGCACAGGGAGTGTTCTAGCTTGGAAGTTTGGAGGTAGGGTGGCAGGTGTTCACTTTACTATTGTGTTTCATAAGACAGATGCAGACTTTTGGTATCAAATATTTAAGTTTTTTTTTTTATGAAGAATAAACAATCCGTTTTATTGGGCTCACTCAGACTAGGAATCCATTCAAATATTCAAAATTTTAAAGGTAAATGAGAGCGCATAACCCCTTGTCCAGTTTTAGAATGAAAGGACCTGAGACTTCCCTGGTGGGCCAGTGCTTAAGACTCCACACTTCCACCACAGAGGGCGCAGGTTCGATCCCTAACTGGGGGACTAAGATCTTACATGACCCATGGGACAGCCCAAACAGAGAAGGAAAGGCCCATCCCCTCCTCACTCGGCCTCATCATGACCTCTCCTGATCCGGCAAGCCAGCCCTTGCTCTCGAGGTTCCAGCCATACAATGCATTTTTGGACTTTGGCCTTCCTGTGTTTTTTTCTTTCTCTCTCAAATACTTTTTGCATAGTTGACTTCTTAATTTTCAGGCCTGAGCTTAAATTAAGCCATTTCATTTATTTCTAAATATTTATTTTTGGCTTTGATGGGTCTTAGTTGTGGCAAGCTGTTGGGGCTCTAGTTGTGGGACATAGGCTCAGATGCCTCAAAGCATGTGGGATCTTAGTCCCCCGACCAGGGATTGAACCCCTGATTGCAGGGCGGATTCTTAACCACGGGACCACCAGGGAAGTTTCTAAATCAAGCCATTTTAGAGAAGACTTATCTAACCTCTTTTCCCATGTACCAGGTAGGTCCACTCTGTTATTCCTGACCTCAGATTCCTATTTGTTTTCTTCAT